CCTGGATAATCTTATTGGATGAAACCAAAGTCAACAGTTCAAATATCCAATGACCACGGATTCCAGTCCACAATCATCGTGAAGCCTACCGTGCAAATGAAATTAAATCAAGTTTCGACTACATCTTCTAGTTTCGTAAGAGGACATCACATTGCTTCCCAGTTTTCGCGTCTGCGTGATTTCAATTATTTCATTTTGCCTCCTTTCGAGATAGCGTCAAACGCCAAGATGCCATTTTTTCTTTCTAAACAAAAAATCCGAGCAATTTTCATGGCCAGTATACTGAAGAATCTAAGGCGATTTTGGTATAATTCGTTCCATCAAAGCAAAACCAAACGGTGTGGCTATTTGAATTTAACTCCGGGTTCTACTGAAGGGAACACTAGCGTAGGTTGAATGAGAGAGAATTTACTATCGGATCTCCATCTTGCGAGGTAAATTTAAGTGCATTTTGTAAATTTAGGTGGCTAATTAACCACGTGGACTGTTTATTGCGAAGATGCCTCCACGAATTGATGATGACCCTAATGGCACATAACCCACATGCACCCTCTTAAATGTCAATCTAAACAATGGTCCGCATCGGTCGCACACTACAACTTAATAACTGTCTCCTTACGCACGCACATGGCACAATAACCTGTTAACCGAACGTACCAGTATTCATGTAATTTCATGGAAAATAGAATGCCCCCAATTTGTACCAAACCAAGACGAGCTAAACAACATTGCATTTACTCATAGTCCATCTCAAATACTCCCACTCTTCCCTCCAAGCTGTGTAATCTCCATTTAAACCACAAATGCCATTTGCTGCTTAGAACAGGTTGTCCTTAAAACAGTCGGTTGTGACCTTACGGCTCGTCTGTATAGCTAACGGACTCTGATTTGAAGGCCTGGAGTATGATTTAACATGAGATGAGGGCCTTAATGCAAGGTTACCAAACTTGCAATGGACAGACGGGCCAGTTGCCACCAGTGCCCCATGAGCAACACCAGGCCGATTCGCACCAATTATGGGACAACAAGCATCGCCAGATTTTCAAAAGAGCCGCGTTCCTAGTTAAGCCACACTGAATGTGAAGGTGCCATCTGTCAGAAGTGTGAGACCGCAACGGAGTGGCTTTGAAGTGACATCTAATTGGACTTAACCTTAACTATTGTTAGGGATAGAGTCAAGATTGCGAGACTCTTGTTAAATCCGAGAACAACAAGAAGGAGGGCTAAAGAATTTGCATTAGAGTTTTGGAAAACCTCACTTTCTCCGACTGGAACATCCAGTTGAGGCCTCGAAAGTAGCTGACTGGTCGGTTCTCACCACCCACAACTGCCATTTGTTTATTAAAGTAACCAGTACCGATTGCAATTTAAAGAACGGATTTTAGTCCTGGACAGATAAACAGTTTCAGTTTACTAGGTCAGACAACAATTTTCTTGGTTTTTGCAAGTCTTTCGTTGTTGACACATTAGTTAGGAGTTATTGTTTTTCGGAAAAAGTAAACAAGAAAAGTTGTTTTTTTTATTATTTCGCAGTCGCATTCAGATTTAATTGTTGTCTCGTACGTTTGTTTATGAAAGGCTCCCATACTTGTTAACCTGCCAGCATAGATGTGATTAGCACTTTTTCGTATCTTGTTTCGCAAACCCCACTTATAATGATTGGCAGTCAGTTTAACAAACGTGCCTTTGTGCGTGTGTGTGTGTGTGTGGTAATGGTGGTGTCAACTATTGCGAGAACTGTGTCCGGTAACAATGAAGCCCCAGCCGGAGACTGCGTACCCATAATCATAAACGTGTACCTTTAATATCACAAACCCACGCACACTGTCGCAATGCTTTACAGTATTCTTATGCCATCCTGTGTAATTTGTGTGACGGGAACCAGCGGTAGTGAAATAAATGGAGGCTTACTCAGCCGTTTACATTTTTACTTCCATTTACCAGTTCCAGTCATTCTAACCTGATTGCAGTTAGTGAGTGAATGAGGCTTGTGCTGTAAATGAATTGTTAGGCCTTACATTTGTCTCGAGCAGCTGTTGAATTTGTGCCTTTTGGGTTTTTGAAAGTCCCTATACATGACACACAACAAACACATTGGTGCTTATCCAGTGTAGTCAAATTTTTATTCATAAGCTACAGATATGGAAAAATAATAGAACTTGCCTACTAACATCAGTCTTTAAAGACTCCAGTTTTCTCAAAAATTTTCCTTAAAAAAAAACACAAAAAACCAAACCTCCGTGGTCACGACCCATCGCCGCTAACCTGGCGATTTAAGTCGGAATAGTTTTGCACAATTTACCGAACAGCAGCAATGCGAACTCCCATGTAAGTTGTGTCTAATACCATTTTAAGTGCCCATTAAGCTGTAGAATTTGCAGCATGCAAGTGATGCGATTTTACCCAAATTAACGAGATAGGCACTCGTGTGAATAACAGAGGCTTGCGGGTCTTAAGATGCAGTCTCCGATTACAGCGCTGCCCTCCTGAACAATCACGCATATATAATTTGCTCTTGGGTAGAAATACAATACGCCCAGAAATATGCTTCATGTAATTTCAATAAAAGAAATGCTTTTTAAGCATTAAGCACTATTTCAGATTGTTCTCTTTGTCCAAAGCACCTCAATTTAGCCAGGCTAAGCTTCAAAGCTCATTTTAATATTTGTTCAAAGTAAAAGCAAACTTCTAAACACAACTGCTGGTTTCTTCATCCATTTTCAAGGAGTTTAGCTTTAGTGACGCGGATGTATCACTGGTTATTTTCAATACCATAAAGTTATAAATCTGGCGCTCGCTATTCTACCTGTGATTTACACATAAACCGATGTAAAAGCTAAACATTTCATCGCTTTGTCAAGTGTTTGGACCTCTGGCTTGGAATTTAGCACATAACTTTGACAAAACAAGGTTGTTTTTTTAAATCATTGTTTTACAAACAGGTATTATTCAAGAGTGGAAGTTCCCTTTAATATACCCAAATTCTGTTTTACCTGCTTTCTTCCTGATAATGCTATCAGAAGATCATCGAATGATAAATATTTCATGGAGGGACCTGGTCAAATAAAATTTGATGTAATGTTAAGAAAAAACAAAGCCTTTAACTTACGAAACGAGCTTATATTTTTAACTGGAGAAGGCTCGTTTTAAAGCAAAGGCTGTTTCAGGACCCATATTCATGAAAATTTGATCGACTATCTTTAATTTTACAGTTTCTTAAAAATCTATTCTTTTAGTTCGAATTTCCTAATGGATTTCAGCAGTTAAATTACACACGTGGAAGTCTCTGAACCTGAAGTTCAGTAATGTCCTCATCATCACAAAGACCCTAATTCATTGGCTAAAACAGTTTAAAAATTTAATTATGGACATTCCAACGTCAAAATATTTATGTAGTCTTTTTGCTATTTGCTTACCATTTATTCCCAGTTTATTAGCCACCGATTCTGGTGTAATGACACTAAACGTATTTTGCATGAAAGATATGATTGTCGTTTTTTATCATGTTTAATCTCTGTACTTATGAGCGAGTCTGTATAGATGTTACTCTTCGAATACATACCTATCTTGGTCTTGAAAAAACTCATGGCACCATACCATCAATAAGTTCCAGATTCATAAAAGCGGATTATCCAACATGTAATCACCATTAATTTAATTTGATTGTAAAGCTATCGTTTGTCGCATTTAGGCTGATGACAAAAGGCAAAGTTTTACAAACGTGAAATTTCCGTTTCACGACATGACTCACCTGGTAAATAAAGAAGGGTGCTCTTGTTGTCGATTATATCAATCCTAATATAACCGTGGTAGTTATCACTTTGCAAAATTTGTTGAATTTAATTAGATAAAAATAATAAATACGGCAATGTCAGATTGTAGTTACTTTTTCTTAATCAGCATTTTTCCTTCGACTTTGCACAGAAATGGACCAAGATTTAAGGCGAAATTGCAAAAGTATTAATTCGCATTATAAATCGAAAGTGGAATAATTCAATGTCACCATGGAATTTTTATTTCAGAAGCAAACAAACTAAAAACGTGTTTAAATGGCAATGTGAACTAAGTGCTATGATCTCCGTAGCGTCGCGTACATATCTTGCGGTCAGAGAAGCAAGAATAGTCGAGCTAATTTAAGTCTGCTCTAAGGTATTGAAAAAAAATATAGAACTATGCTTCTAGAAAAGGAAAATGCAGCAGCTTGCATTCATACTAAAAGCATGCAACTTAAAGGCCTATTCAAGTAGTCTCTTTCAACCAAAGAATGATTGCATGTGTCATGATTTCAAAAATTGTCATAATTATAACAATATTCATTATTCCATTAGTTTTATTGCGTTAACATAATTAAGTGATACGTGTATAAGCTAATTATATTGTAACTAGTTCCTACTTAGAAGTATGTTGAAGCATGCAGTAGTTTTTATAGTTCGATTAAATTTCAAGGACAGCTGCATAATAATATGAGCACTTTGAGAAAATGCTTCAGTGAAAACGCTTCCTCGGCTAAGTACTTAATTGTACGAGCGTAAGTACATGTCAGTAAGAGGCAACATAAATCAACTAGTGTGCTAATAGCTCTGCGATAACCATAACTCTTTATGTCCATTGAAATTAGCTTATATGGTCCCTTTTTCCAAATAAACTGTATTTTCTAATTTCCATGAGTCAGCAGTACAATAGATCTAAGAAAGCAATTTAAACTCGCATCGTAGGTGTTATTTAAAACAGTTAAACTCAAAAGGAATTACCTGACTAATGTTTTTTAAATATATTGGATTGTCTTACCTGATCACACGTGGTGTTCAAAATGGAAAGCAACTGCTAAAGAAAAGACGAATTATTAGTCAGACATATTTTTTCTTGATGCCTAAATATATCAGCATAACATAAAAATGCTATTTTGTAATTATTATTTATGATTTATTTGAACAAATACTATAACCATCCATGTTGAACCAGAATATGTTTTAAATAATCGTTTCAGGCCGCATGTAAATATGCGGCAATTTGTATCCACGTTCCTCTTAATTCTTGAATGTTTCGTAACACTGTCAGCCGCTGTCCGTAAGTTAAAATGCTTATTTTTTATGTGGTGCGTGTTAAAAAACTCAATAAATGTTAAATTGGTTAAAATAATTTGAAAAACGTTTTTATCAAAAATAACGAATTTCCCTGGATGTTGCTTTCAGTTTCCGGCTCTGTGAAATTTCAGAGGGAATTTTTTAGTACGAGGTTTTCGTAACATATTTTTTGCACTACCTTAAGTGTGTTTTTTCCAGCCCATAATAGCCACCTAGTATTGAAGTTGCTACGATATTTCCTATTCAGTTACAAAACGATCGCGTTTAACAAAGCGTATTAGGCGGATATTTCTTGCAACCTATAGTAAAGTTAAAGCTAAGTTACTCACATCTGATCAAACGGAACATTTCTGTCTAACTTTAGTCACGCTTCTAAAGACTCACTTTTTTAGTGATATCTTCGAAGGTAATTTTTTTGTCAATGACATTATTTGTCAATATCCGGAACACTTTCCTTACACCTTAATGTACTTTGTATACATGTAGGCTATACCGAAGTACCTTTTTATAAAAAAAATACACTTGATGCAACACTTTCAATAATAAATACTGACTATATCGAGGTACATTTTAGCTTCAGTGGATCGGTCAAATTCTAAGTCCCTCAACTAATGAGACGTTTAGTAATTCATTTTAGTAATCAGTTTGTGTGGACATCTTTTCCTGCATTTCTTCCATTTATTCAAACCCTTAGTAAAACACTTTCTTAATTGTGAGTTTATTTAGTCAGCGATCATTGTCTACTTTAATCTGTTTATTTCAAACCATTCGATTCTGCGTGTAATTCTTCACTTTAGATGTTGTACGTTGGTGCGTCTTCAAGAAAGCTGAGGAACTTAAATGTATGAGTCTTTCTCGAGCAATCGCCCAAACGCCGACATTTGCCATCAACTTTACTCTTAGTTGCGTGATGGGTTTCACCGAGTTTGATTGCATGAAACTAATAAGCGCTGATAAGGCTGACCTGATTACTCTGGATGTTGGTCTTGGTGATATTGCCAGCAGAACATATAGTCTGCGTCCCCTTGCCGTGGAGAACTACAACCCATCCTCGCCTGCAGATGGTTTATACTACTATTCAAATATAGTAGTACCCATTGGTGAAAATGTCAATCCGTACACACTTCGGCGAAGAGAAGTTTGCTTCGCAGGTAACGTTTGATCTAAATCGACCTGATTATATCTGACTATGTAAAATACCCTGTTTTTTGAACGCGCTAACATTTAAAAAAACTGCTTACGTGCTTGTTTAATATGAGACAATAATACACAAATAATTAACAGACACGCCTCACAGAATGGTTCTTTAAACATTTAGTTATTTTTGCTACTTTTGTCAGTGCATAGCTAATATCATTTCTCTCCTAATAGCAACTGATAATAACCCCTCGTATTCATCTTCTTTATCAATTCAAAGAGGCGAACTGAAAAAAATGTCATGTAAACTAGCCTAACTGCTAATGTATTTATACTTTTTGATAGAGCTCTATGACCGTCACTTTGTCATATGCTGAGGAGTTAATAATATCTGTAAAAGCCAGATAATTAAATAGCGAATGCTATGTCCAGGAAAAAATCCTGGTGAATGTTGGTTTGGCGTAAACGCACCACAGGTTTCATTTGGATCTCGTAGCATAACATAACAGTTTTGCTGGATTATTGATTAATTTTAAGGCGGAATAAATCAATGATATGCTTCGTCAACTTGATACACTTGTCATAGTCCTTATAAGGGCTATTCGTATCTGATTTCAATCATTTTTGCTTTGCAGGTGCGGGGACAGCAGAGGGCTGGGTCATTCCCTTGAGCCGACTAATGGGTGATCTGCACGCCATCAACATCACCCAGTGCAACAGTGTGGTGCAGAACTTGATCCAGTTCCTCGGTGATTCCTGTGTCCCGAACGCGTTGCAGAGCGCATTCAATCCGTTCGGCGACAACACTCAAGAAATTTGCCGTTTGTGCGCTGACGTTGGCACCCAAGCCTTCTGCACATCGCGCGATCGATTCGCCGAGAATCAGGGTGCCCTGCGGTGCCTCTACGAACACCGAAACAACCCCGAGACGACGAAACGTCCGTTGGCGGCCATTGTGCGGGCACAAGAGGTCGAGTTGGCCGCCACCGACGGATGGTTTCCAAAAGGACTCTACCAGCTTCTCTGCCCGACCCAGCAGCTCAGGTAAGATTTAAGAAAATCGCGTGCAAATTGCAGCATACCTTTCAGCTTTACGCTGAAAACCAGTTACATCTTTTTCTCTATTTAGTAACGAAACATCTGCTAATTCAACTAAACTCCAACCGGCTTAAAGTTGTTACTTGGCTTGTTTGTCTGCGGTGACTAATAACACACCTTTTTAGTGGTTAAAAAGTTAGAATTTATGAGGTATCAAAATTCATAAATATGAAAGTATAGAGGCAACCTCTGCTAACAAAGTGGACTAATTTTAGAACAATCAAACTGGCAGAAATGTCCGTGTGCTTCTGAAAGATTTTGGCAGGTCTTGAAGCAGACACTTATCATCCTCCTAGTTTTTGACGAATTAAGTTTTAATGAACGAATGACACCCTCACACAAGATTTAGATAACGTTATGATTGTAAATCTATAAACCACCGAAGCTGCCAATTTATTTCATTTCGGACTTTCGGAAAATTTGAAAATGCTCTTGTCTAGCGGTCTGTGGACGGCTCCCCTGAGTGAGTGGCAGACGTGTCAGTGGGGTCGAATTCCAGCCCGCCTCGTCATGACGTCTTCGCGTCGACTCGACCTCCAGCCGATGAAGGACTTCCTAAACTTACTCATTGTCCACTTTGTGACCAATCCGATCCCGGGTTCTCCACGTTTCAACCTCTTCTCGTCGACGGAATACGTCGTTCCGGGTCAAAATTGGGTTCAACGAAATCTCATGTTCTCCGACTTCACCCGCACACTCTACTTTCCGCCTGAGAATCAAATCATGACGTTCTATCAGTGGATTGGTAAGTCTGGATTAGCCTTATGGATACTTTGATATAATTGCCTACTTACTTAGCATAAACCTGTTTCTTTGAAAATTTACGGGTAAAGGTTACTCTGGTGGTTGGATGGGTCGTTATCTAGGGAATCAATGGCTTAGTCTTGAACAGATAAGCGAATGCGTCCAGTGATTCTATTCTACCAGAATTAAGCACAGCCAGACAAGTTTATCTCCAGCTAAAAAACCGGAAATCGTGTTGAAAGGCAGCAAAAGTGCCTCACCTTTCCAGTTCCTCGACAGTACCTCATGTCCATATTTTATGCTTATACTTTACCATCTCGTGCTGTTGATAATGCGTCTGCGAATCTTGATAAACTTGATTTGTCAAAGAGTACTGTGACATATTAGATCGTGCAGTGCTCAACATTGAAAAGGGAGAGCCTCAGGTTAGTTATTTGAATACAAGTGGAACGCCTGCGAGGCCGTGCTACTGACGCACAAAGTATCCCGAGTTTTCCAGAATTTAATAATATGTTTCTTTCTTTTACGATTGCCCAAGACGATGCCTCATGCAATTACAGTACATTCTTACTCGTTATTTTGGATGCTGGTACTTACATGTATGATTAAATCATGATTTTAGCGTAAATTCCTTCAAGTAATCTAAAACAGTCCGAATAAACTCATTCGGAAATCTAGAGTTACAAAGCATCGATGTTTGATAAATGGCGTGAGTTAACCAATCATAAGATAGGCAGAAAGCAAAATACCGTAAATACTATAAAACCTATCCCTATTCAATATTCCACTGGCCAAAATATTTAACGCGTCAACAAATTATGTCATAAACAAAAAAAATGCACGTAAAACTGGTGCATTGTGTTGTGGACTATACCTCATAGCCACCTACTATTCTCATTTGTAGAATACTACTTATTACCACAGAGTACAATCGTTGGCCTGCCTTAATCCTAGAAGACAGTAAAAGGCGGATATGGCTGAGATCTGACTAGGAAATAAGTTTAGATTTACTGTTTTTGGTGTAGACAAAGGTTTTCTGAATGCCGTTGAACTCTTGAATCAGTGTCCCCTCCCCACAATCCGATGGTGTGTAGTTGACTACTGGGAGATGGAGAAGTGTGAGCGAATGGGGAGTGCTTTCGCGGCCAAAGGCATCAAGCCAGTCCTCACTTGCATCCTCGAGGAGACCACCATAGACTGCATGCGGCGCATGAAAGACGGATTCGTCGACATGATGAACGTCGAAGCGGGTGACTTGTACACCGCCGGCAGTCAATTCAACCTGGTCCCAATCGTCAATGAGTAGGGCGCTTATCGGAACTTTACCTCTTACTGAGTTGTTTCAAGTAGTAATGTTATGTTATCTTTTAAAAGGAATTATGGAATTGGACCGTACTATTATGCCGTGGCAGTGGTCAGGAAGATAAACCCTGATATCCTGATTTCTAATTGGAAATTCCGCCGCACATGTCAAAGTGGGGTTGGACGAGCTACTGGCTGGATCATACCGCTTAACCTCATTCTTGAGACGGCACAAATTCGAGTTTTCGGGAAACACCTTATCTACGCGCTAAGTAAGCCTTTGTTACTACAACAATATTCGGTCGTCTCGAGTGTGTTAGTGGCTGGATAAAGCCTCATTCCAAGACTTTCAGACTGTTTCCAATTAAGCATGGACGCGGCATGCAGAAATTAGGAACTGAAATGACATTTTGGGCTAGAGACTAGTGACTTACTTCAGCTTTGTTGTGATTTAATGACGCAGGCTACTTAAATCTTCAAATTCCAGTGCAAATGACAAACAAATCCTATCTAGTTGTGAATTAAAGTCTACTCACGCAAGAGTTAAAATCGTGCTTTGTAAAAATCACTCGTAGAAACTTCTCAAATAATGGTTATTGGATAACGATGGCTTCCTGTGCCGTTTGACTTTATGTACTCTCTAACGTCAAGCACGTGACGCAGTGCAGAAAGCAAACGGTAGTTGTACAATCGTCTCGGTAGACGTATTTTTATCTCATAAAAGCTTCAATCCCCAAAGGTGTGTACATGCGTGTGATTGTTGGCACTGGCTAGTGGGATTATCCTCTCAAATCGGATCTCTAGTTGATTGCACGCTCTACAACGTACTAAGATTAAACAAGCGTCTTTTACTAATAATTTGTCACGCATCTGTGCCTGTGGGGTTCGAGCGAGAATTTGAAATGCGTAGGTGCGCTTCTAAATTTCTAGGTGAATTGGTGAGTCAGTCCTGTATTCCTGGGATTCAAAACCGAGCCTTCAATCCAACCGGGAAGATTCCGCTGAATTTGTGCGAACTCTGCATGAGTGGTGGCAATGACCGTTGCCAACGCGACAACAGGGAGTTGTACTTTGGTGAAGATGGCGCCTTCCGTTGTCTCACTGAAGCCGGCCAAGTCGCCTTTACTCGCCACACCACAGTGCAAGCGAATACAGCCAGCAGGTAGGGTTCGTGATAGATTTGTAAAGGGCCCCTGTGCGGTTTCGGAAACCACACCAGGCCCGGTGATTTACGCTTACAAGGCCCCTACCGAATGAAGAGTCAGGAGGCGCTGATGGCGCGTAGCCCAACCAATTCATTAGCATAGTAGCAGTGTGTGTGTACAGGATAACGAGTGCGTTTATATAGCGTCGCTAAGCATCGATCCCTGAACGAGAAGAGTTCCGTGAAGTGCATTCACAAAAATCGATTGAATCGTGTTCGCTCACGACTGCTAATCGTGCTCGCCTGCTGTTCGCCACAGATTGAATGGCTCGTGTGATGCCAAAGTACAAAATTCTATTTCATCAGATGCTATAAGGGGTTTTGGACATCACAGGCCTCCGTACTAATTTCAGAGGCTCTATGTTATAGTGCTGGCAGTTGTGGAAGCGAGTTACCGTTGGTGGGTCGTACTGTAGTCATGGTAACTGGAATTGGCAACTCCCGCGACACCTATTTAGTGAAGTGTCAACACGTTTTAGCCCAAGCCGAAAAGAAAACTCTTCAATATTTGCAAGACGGGGATTAACAAACTGCGAAAACCGATTGGTACTTCCATGTACTCGAGGCCTGGACACTAAAATTTGTAAAATAACCTGAAATGAGTGCTGCGGTTTAACTTCGACAGACGAGTAACATTGGGTGCGAGAATGAGTCAGCAAGTGCTACGTGGATGGGTTGAGTCACAACGAGTAGGAGCTGAGGTGAACATCTGCTAACGCCAGTTTCCATGATTCTTAATTACCAAAACTTACAGCTTTGTCGACGCTAGCTCGAAGTAAGATTTATCCCTTTCATCATGCGATCTTTGTGTGCAGGATCCACGCATGCAAATATTCCAGAAAAACTGTTTTTTTTATTTACTTAGTGATTCCTTAATCGATCATCGTATATGCCATTGAGTAAATATACCATCGCATAAGCGTATTCTGGCAAGGACGGATTTAAGTTCTTTGTTATAATCCTGGTTAGTCAGAAACCTCGAAGTTCTTAATCCAGCTATTGCGATTGGTCAGAAACCTCAAAGTTATTGATCCAATTGTTGCGATAGGTCAGAAACCTCAAAGTTATTGATACAGTTGTTGCTTTCACGCTCTTGTTTTTAACTTCTTTCAAATAAGGAATCCAGACTACTGGGCTAGAAATTTACGCGAGGATGACTTTGAATTGCTGTGCACGGATGGACGCCGACAAAACATACGAAACTGGCACAACTGTCACCTTGGAAAAGTGCCCGCGAACACCATAATCACGGCCCCACACAAAACGGAAAATGAGCGCCTGAATATGTGGCGTCTGCTGCAGTACGGACAGGAATACTACGGCGATGACTGGTGTGTGTCCTCTTTTTGAGTAAAATTAAACTAAACTTCAATTTCTGTGCTTCACACTGAAGCCAAATATGCATACAGCATTTGTATCGACCATATCAAGTACCACCAAATAGCTTTGAATGCTCAAACGACGAAGGCTTAACATAAAAAATTCAACTTTAAACTTGGAACTTTGACCCTCAATCATGGTAACTTCGTCTACTTATTGCTTATGAGTAGTTGTCATGCTTTGTGTTAATAGATCTGCCTTTTCAATTGGCCAACCTCGTTTCTGGTGGTCGGCCACTTCGTACTGTTCGTATTTTCAAACCGACAACACGAATTGTATCGCGACGGAAAATTCCGTTATTTACATCAATCACGTTGCAGTCTCTCTCCACAGCTGCCTCGATTATCGACATTTCGGAAATCAATTGAAGTTTAGTGCAGAGGCCTTATATTTGATTCTAGAATGAGTCATGATTTTTAAATAGTTTTTTGATATAGACAGAGTGATGTGCACATTTTGGTATTCTGTCCCACTACAGGAATCCAACATTTCGAATGTTTGACTCAGGGTTCGGACACAGCGACCTCATCTTCAGTGATCTCACCGAGAGCCTGACGAGGATTCCGTGGGCGGATCAGAACTACACGCAGTGGCTGGGCAAGGACTTTCTGCGGCTAGTCCAGGCTCTACAGGACGTTGGAAGGTACGGCGAACTGGGAATATACCAACCAGTTAACGGCACCGCCTAATATAAATATGCCAAGATGTATTCAGTTCCAGGAACTTGTGGGGACGAAAAGAAGATCTACTTTCTTGTATCGATGTGTGCAAAGTACACAAATTCTGCTCATACCACGTCTCACTAAATCCCACAACAATGCATGTTGCCAGTTAAATGCTGGTGGTAATAATTAACACCCAGAGACCAGCATAATATCGATATGACTAATTGCAAGCGGCGATAAGGATTTAATGTGGCGTGTTGCTTTTGGCGTCCACTAACAGCTTGACTCATTAAACGTTTCAAAATAAGGCAGTGTGATATGAAGTTAAAGCAACGCATGTAGTGCTTAATATTGGGTAATTTGTTGCTGTAACCTGCCTTGGCTTCAAGTGATTTGAGGTTCGGTGGGAATATCTCGTTGGCCGAGTTGGCTTCTTATGTGCGTGAGAAAAGCATGGGGGTCAGTTGTGTAAACTGGAATCTTTAAGGTCAGTCAAGCCCAGTGCACTTCCGTCTTATTTTTTTCACGCGTGGTGCAAATAAGGGACATGACTTATTTCACGGTCGCTCCTAACGGTGTGAAACTGTTTTCGGTGTTGTTTCTGGTGACGGAAAGCTTTTCCAGGCAAAGATGGCTATTGCAGTCAGTGAGTAAATCTCGAATAATTTGAAAGCAAAATAAAGTTCGAACGGTCTCTTGCTTTTTTTTGGCGCAAAATTCTCGTGGGTACTAATTGATAAAGACTCAATATTTTTAGTACATACAAAGCACAACTAATCAAAGTGAATAAATTTTATAGCTGAAATTGGCTGGTGGCTGGTTCATGTTTCGTGAGGACTTTAGAAAGCACCGCTATGTGAGCAGAAAAATACGAACGAATATTTTAATTAGATTATGTAGAAGCCTTCAATGCATACTAAGTATATTTGGTTAATATGTATTTGATTTATTAGTATACGCAAAAAAAAACAGTAATCTCCATCGATTATCGATCCAAGGAACATCAATAGTTTTTAATCCCAAAGGTCTGTACTTAAGATAAAAACTTTCGTTTTCTACCACAGCACCAAACTGGTAATTTTTGAATATCGCCAGATGAGCTTCAGAATTAAAGTCTACTTGGCTTGCATTAGTTATGAACCTCATAGTCGATTTATTAGCAAAAATGTTTTAGCAGAATACTAGGGAAATATATGGCTAGACCTTTAGCAATAAAATAATTCATTGATCGTTTACAAATCCAGTGCAATAACAAAAAAAAGGAACATCATTTAAAACCCTAATTAACAGATTTCTGAGGTATTAGGCAGGTACCAGTTACTTATGTTTGTCTAAGTTGAATTATTTTGCATTGTGAACGCTTAACTACAGTGTTCCTTAACTTTATTTTGCGATCAAATTGATCAATCGAGATGAAAGTTAATGAGTTAAATCGTTTATTATCTAAAATTGTGGGATCAACACTAATACCTGAATTTAGATTTATTAGGAATTAATAAGAAAACTCTAAGCCGGTAATAAAAGAATATAATTTAAAAATAAGACTAAAGTTTTTACTGGCAACTTTTATTCAGTTCGGTAGACCTACCTCAATTTTTGGGCAATGACCATACGCCATACACATTGGCATGCGTTGTTTTGCTCAGCCTAGTGCAAATATACAAAATAAAGGCTAAATGTGGAACAGAACTAAAAATTTAAACATTTTAATTTAGTTTATTCTCACTAATGCCCTTGAAACTAGTTTTTCGTCTTTCATAGGTTGGCTTGTCACTCGTGTGCTTTGTATCTGTGTGCTTGCGTCTTGTCTCTCTTTTTAATTGTTAAATAGTTATTTCTAAACACAATAACTATCACCTTTTTTTACGTAATAGGTTGCCGTAATACGTACAGTATTCATTGGTTCTTCAATACAGAAGGAAGTTTTGATAAAATAATACCTGTTTAACGTCATTTCTTCTAAAATTGGTGACTATAGTCTAACCGAGCACCTTTTATCTTTTTTTAAATATATGCGCTATGTCATTAACAATCCTAAGCCATTTGAAGCTTTTTTTAGCGATGGCCTTCTTTCTATCCTTTCAGGTAGTTGTGTCTACATGGATGAGCCGGTCATTCCCTTCGACCGTTTCTCACGATGGATTTACGCAGTGTGTGTGGTTAATTTTGACGTTGACCTTGGACAGACCTTAGAGTCGGTTTATCCGTCATATGTTATGCTGTCCGAAGCTGAACGCAATTCCGTCTCCTACCTGTCTTTCCCAGATTCTCATTCTTCTTGTGTGGAGCACACGCAGCACCACTTTCGTTTTAAATCCACCTCTGTTGATCGCCTGATTTTGAAACACTTTCCTGTTTTATACAGGAATTATACTCAGTCACTATTGGTTGGCTTTAGAATAACGCTCTAATTTTGACTGTTATTTAGCCTGTGGTGGGTGCCTGTTTTGGGTACGCCCTTTTTAGGCAACAAAAGGATCTCAGCCTTAAGCGTCAGTACTCACAAAAAGTGAGTTACTAAATCTGAATAATACTGTTTTTTTAGTCTGTTGTTGTATTATCCCCACTACCCTTCGATGCGCTCTTCTATGAAGTTACGAAATCAATATCGCAAATCTATTTCTCAAATGGGATCTGCGGAATCGAAAAAGGTATTCACTTTTTGTTCTTGTCCTTTTCAGATCGTCATTTTAGTTTCGTAACGTCTTCTTAAATGTGCCTTTTTCGGAAACTATAGGGTTTTATTTTCTTCATGGTGTCACATTACACCAACCGAGCATATTCGTTAAAGAACTTGCCGCGATAATGACCTGACGCCTAAGTGCTCAACTAAGCAGTAAGGTAATTCAGTATCCAGATGCACTCCAAACATTACCCCCACTATATGAACTCGTGCCTAGTTTTTAATTTTTTCTGCCATTTAAGTCGATGAATTAACTTTTCTGAGAAGGTCATGTGCAAATATATTTTATTTTAGCATGCAAAGAGATTGACACCTGGCCAGCTCCGAAATCCGACGAGCAGCTTTCCCTTCCTCTCCTTGGCGTCACATACACTTTTCGAATTCCAGGAGCTGCTGGGACTGTAATGCCTGCGTCTCAGTTTCCTGTCGGTGGTAATCCGTTCCTCCACGAAGATGAACAAGATTGTTGTTCACCATCAAGTCTCGAGTCCCCTCCATCTACTTCTGCATTCTCGAAGGATCTTCTACGTTCCGATTCTACAAATATCCCCAATTCTTCTACTGCCGCAGTAACGGCAAATGTTTCGTCGTCTTCTAGGGATTCCGATTCATCATACGATATTGTTCCTGTAAGTTCCCTCTGTTTTAGCTGTGATAATTTAGTTTTAATGAACGAATCACACTTTGGAGTCTTGCCCCGATTTTGAAGACCTGCACACGTAAGGGTTCTGGTGCAACCATCGCACTCCGATATCACATCCGTATTTTTGCGTCATCTAGCGCTTAAAGTATTTGAAAGACCTGCAGATTCTATTTGCACACCTTGCAACTAGGCAGTGGGTTTTCATTGCGATCAAACCCTACAGAAAGTCATTTATGTGTAATTTTGTTGTGCATTAATGTCTGGTATCCTCATTACAACCGCCACGCATTAGATCGAATCGTCTTTTTCTTTTATCACCCATTCATGCCCTGCTAGATCAAACTACGCGGTTCGTACACGCCGTCATTTCTGCTATCCTTCTCAAATACCGGCGTATTTTACTCATCATTTTTGTCTCGTGTGCGGGCCTTTGACACACGTTCAATGCACAGTCGCCATCGAATGGAAGTGTTTTATGTTTGCCAACCGGACATTTTTATTTGATTCCTCTCCTTTTATTTGGCAACACATAATGGTCAAACGTCGGCCAAATTTATCGGCTGTAACTCACTAATTGCTACATTAGTTCACGTCGTAAAGCGCGCGCTCTTTATAGGTGGCGCCCTTCAGCTCGTGCAGCGTGAAAACCCAGACGTGTGTCCTAATCACTTTCGTGAGTCAGCTGGCGTTGCTAACATCTCACATAAACCGACAACCCCTGTAGTTTGGCGTCTTATTTACTTTACTGCTATGGCAGCCATTCGAATTTGCAATCCGACATTCCACAGACATAATCCGCGCCACAGTCAGCACACTGGCAAACGCCTATGAATGTGCGCGTGTTGGTGTCCCTCGTTCAGTTGTATACGCGACGTTGATCCACGTTACTATGCTGGTATTGTGAAATTCTACCTTATTTGAATACGGAAGGTTGTAGTGCGGCTTAATTAGATGCAGGCTCAATGCAATGACTGGAAGTACGGAGTAGAAATCAACTTCAATCTCACCTGAACACTAACAATGATGCACACAGAGTCTTGCTGTTGCAGCCTTTTTGTTTGACTGCGTTTGCAGGCAATCCTATATTCTCTGGGCATTACTCTTCTCACTCGGCAATGTTCCCGATTGTCGCATTCACAATTAATGACATTTCTGCTCAAGCCTCTTATTCATTCTGGACTGACCTATCGGAATCTAGAATTCCGTTTTGAATTCCCCTCCACAGGGCCGTCTGGAATGCATTATTTCCGAAAGAGCCTCAAGTATTGGAAAATGGTCAAGTGTTTAGTGAGAATGTTCACATAATTACTGTTTCTTCTGGTGAGTGGTTTGGTGGCCTAATGACTACTCTACTACGACATTGCCTGCGTGTGAACCCGACATGATTTTGAGAAAATGTTCAAAGTTTTTTGTTGATGGTGACGAACAGCAAACTTGCCGTATGGGACTAAATTCATATCAACTATAGTGCTTACAAATGCACGAAATAAAAGGACGAGGACGCAAGTAAACTTATTTTGACTTAGTGTAAACTGGCACGAAGGAAAACTTCAAGCAAGGGTGTCAAAACTCATTCAAAGTACACTTTCCATGGACGAAATATTTAGAGCCGTGGTGTGTACGTATCAGCTGCGCAATCCGTAACGGTTTTGTCCCTTTATTTACATATCTTCCACTTTCCCTTCCCGCTTTGGATGGTTTGGTCTGTTGAGTCTGTCCTTCGTACGTTAGTCATCAAACCACTGCTGTCTTGTGCTGAATTACTAATCTTGCTTACCACTTTTAACTCAATCTCATTTATTAATGAAAGTAGAATTAATCGGAACAATGCTTTTTACCGTTCCGATTGTTATTGCCAATGCTTTTTGCCATTAGCTTTCCGCGGCACCTAAGCCAACGCTATAACTGTTGTGTTTTTCTGCGCATGAATTCAAATTTGTTTGAATTGTTGACGGTGATTGAAAGTAGCACACTCGCCAAGTTGGTGCGCAGAGGCTGCGCATTCAATGTCCGCGTTGTTTACCATGCTAGTTTGCGTCGTTTAGATGCTAACAGATGGTTGCGAGTGGGGTGTAGTTGGACTTGTCTCTCCGTTCCTCCTGTTTGTCTGTTACCACGGTTTGTTCGCTCCACACGAACCTTTATCGATTTCTGAACAGTAGCGTGACCTTGACCGATTGCCTTGAACCAGGAAATAAGTACACCACTTAAACAACCACGAGATCACCTCAGGCGAATGGTCTTAGTTACCTAAAACCTGGTGTACAAATTCCTTATGTCGGTGGGCCTTTGAGCCTTCTTCTGCATAATTATAACTTTTGCGGAAATTCTTTTCTAAGTGGTGGTTTTTCGCATCCAGAGTATGAACTTCCTTCTCTCTACTTCCCCGTTGGCAGTTGGCTTAACATGTCTGACCATAACATTTACGCTGAAATCAATGACAACTGGAAGGTATGCGCACCTTGCACGCTATTTCCAAAACGTAATTTGAAAAAGGTTTCATGCTTACGAAATCGCCTGGCTTTATAGCCATGGCTGAACGTTTGTGCCTCGACCTTTCTTGAAAGTAATTAGTGGCGCCAGGCATCATAGTTATGTGACGTTTTAAGTGTGAATTTATAGTGTGTCGGTAATTTTTGGTCGCTTGGTGATTATCGGTCGTGGACATGATAGTTATGCGGTGTTCTAAATGTGAACTCACAGTGTGTGTAAACGGTCATGACCCACTTTGAATATTTACTCAACATTGTCACTTTAAAATTAAACACACTCCTATTAAACATGAAGCCCTGTTTTCATTTAAGTCCACAGAATTTAGTCTTGTGTGTATTACTTTTATCGTCCTTTTACTTTCAGGAGAAAGATGTGATACTGAGGATGCAGGAGGAGATCGAAGTGAGCCTGGATTCGCGGCGCTACGCTCAAGCCTTCGCTCCCGTTCTGTCCCACCTCCAGCGCCTCTGGGAGCTGGTGATAACCGCACAGGTGACTTTGCCATCTCCGTGTAGCAATAAGTGGCAATAAATAGGGATACAAGGTGTTTCAGCCGGAGCATATGTCGGATTTATGTCCGGGGGTTGTAGGACGACTTAGCTTGTCGAAATTGGATAAGGCACACCATCTGCGCCTTTTTACTAACAAGTCTACTGTCAACCAACTAACAATCTTGTTTGGTCGCCAGTTAAATCTGCTTTCGAATTTGCTTCAGTCAGGACATCCAACGAGACCGTCTAGAACACTAATGCGCAAACTAATTGACTCATTTGGAGCCTTTTGATTCTTGTTTACCATTTTTTTCTGGCTTGGTAGGGGTTAAGTCTTGCTTTCGTTTTGTTTAATCGTAGCCGCTTCTTGTAATGGGTCCCAATCCTGGTCAGACGAGTCAGACGGTACAAGCCCTTGTCTCCTGTATAGCGCCACTGGCATTCTGCGCCGACTATCGCCCCTTCTTCACAATCTACGATCCCGAATTCAAGAACGTTTCCCGCGGCAGCATTTCCAGGTATTCGCTAGCAGGCGGCTTGCACTAGCTTTGTGCTATTGCCCCAACAACTTCATTTTCTCTGAAAGCTGTTGTATTTGACATTTGCGACGTCGAGTTCTTGTTGTGTGGCTACCTTATCGCAGTGCATGGACACCCTCTGTGTTCCACTGTCCACTACAGCAAGTCTATCAGTGTGCAACTAACCAGGCTAGCCGCCGGTATAACCACAAACCCACTTCCTTAACCACTCGGTAAGCTAACTTAGCCCCACTGCCTCAGTTGTCATCATAGTTCAATCAGATAATCGACTATGGAGTGTGCGATTTAATAGCAACTCTGTTCATCTGTAGTTTCATTGTTTTCCATCTTCATAGACCTGGCGATTACGAACGTGGACTCAGTCACTAAGTATCTCAAATCGTGTTGTTTCTTTATTTTAGTCCAATCGCAATACTGGGTGTAACCAATCCCTTCTTCTCAAAGGCACTCAATCATTGGCCCAATGTAATACGACTGGGCAAGGTCAGACGTGAGTAGTCCTCCCTTTCTACTTATCCTAACTCGGACAATTCTGTTCCTACATCACGTATTCTGCTCTAGTGGATGGGTTAATGAGGCCTCGCTGGAAAGCTGCCACGACATAAGCGGACTCTAACTTCTTAGATGATGTAGATACTCGGAAGGTTCTTAGGCAATCATAATTTCCCAAGTATGCAGTGTGATTGTCGCCTGGTAAATCACAGACAAATGCGGCTACCAACTGATTCTTTCTTCTCAACGGAATATATTATAAAATAACGGAAATAACTCGGTTCAAGTTAATAGAGTTTGGTTATCTCGCCTACCACGTCGGTGTTTGGTAGTTAATTTAGCCCCGAGTTATCATTATTGGCCTTTTTTTCGCAGCTGTTTTTCAATAGAACTATTAAATGCCTAAAACGCTCGACCTTTTGTAGATATTGAAAAAAAGAGGCATGCGCACCAGCTGTCCTCCAAAATTCTGCTTGAAGACCTGAAACCCGGTCTGTATTCGCAGTACAAACCATTCCTGAAGCGCGACGCCGGCTTTTTCAAGCGTCTGAAGAAGGTTGGTGGCCACTGCGACATCTTTCGATCTACCTGGGTTTCATTTCTCCTTTTTTTTCTCCTTGAAAAGTTGCTTTTTGAGAAGTGGCTGTGAATGCCCCACATGTGGGGGGTTCAGACATTTGGTCAGTGGCAATCTATGCACTGCTGTGGGATAGTACAGTGTGTGTTAATCGCGAGTCGCACAAATCACACCTGGTGTGTGGTCAAAACCGAAATGGCGCTTTCCTTGTTAACTATTCGATCCACTACACAGGCGCCAACGTAAATCGCCCACCCTTTACACGTCCTAAGTTTGCCTTGTGCATGCTTGTTGCTGCAAGGCCTTCTGCTTGATAAAGTACTGCTGTCGTAACTCTCTTCTAAGCCTTGCAAATTGACATTTCCTCGACAGACTGTGTTCCACCGAATCAGTGTGCAAATGCGGGACTGGTATGCCCTTATTTATGCAAAGTAAAGTAAATCACACACTGCATAGCTGTTGACCGAGGTATGTTGAATTTTAAGAGAGCTTGTAGACAAGTTTTTTCTTGGGCATCCCGATCTTTGCCCACTGCTGTGCTTAAAATCTTGTTTCTCCAGGCCCTCACTGACGGCACCCCAGAGGTCTGCATTTCTCGTGCTATTCAACGCTTTTTCCAGGAGCTAACATTGAGCTTCCTCATACCCCTGGTATGTTGTCTGTGTGAACCGCGTCATTGATTAGGCTCTTGTTTGCATTAAGTCTGTTTTGGGCCCCAGCATGTGGTCTTGAACCACGCCGGGGCCACGGAATTAACCCTGGTCCGATTACGCTTGCCTGATGCCCGCGATGAAGAAAAAGATCGTAGAGGACGTGGACACAACCGTTTACTTCAGGTTTCAACCACGTTGGTGTTGTTGTGTCGTGTGTGGGGTTTGCGCGTGTGTATTTATACCTCGGATGTGCGAGTCATACATGCGCTAAAATCGAGACCTAGGCGTGAGGATGATCCAAAATAAGTATCCATTTGAATGAGGGGGCAGTTGAGGATCCGCGCGGCTGGCGACATGCTACGAAAAAAAAGGAACCCTGTGTCGGAGGTGGAGCGACCGGGTGTGAATAAACACGATTCACGACAGGCCCTTCGGTGGCGGGTCTTGGCTCCTAATCACAGCTTGGGCTGAGGCTCACAAAGTGAACTTTCGCCGCGTCAAAATCGGCCTGGTCTTGACTCGGCATCGGCATTCCTGTTAAAACACAATAAAAGTAGACTAATCAGTCACTTTGTTACGTACGTAAACACTCGTAAGTAGAGGCGTCCAACATGAATCGAATCGAAATAAGGCTACTTTTAGGCGATCAACTCTACTCGATGAGCTAAGTCTTTCCATAAGAAACCAGCTCCTAGGCGCAATTTATTAGGCTGGCCTTTAGGTGAAAATGGAACAGCTCCGTCGGCCTTAGTTTTTGTTTTTTGAATCATCCAGGTGTGTTTTCAAGTTAGCATTAATTTAAAATGTCCCTCTCCGGATAACCAATCAATTCTAGTTTCGGACTTGATCAATATTGGAACGAGTCTAAATTTGCGTAGCGCGCGCGCTTATCTCGTTGGATCACGTCGACTGACCTTTCGTAGTGTTCCATTTAAGAATGAGGCAAATGCACGAGTCAAAAGCCATCCCCGTTTTACATCCACCTACATTTTAAAAGTTCTGCATTGCAGTTTGGTTGTAAAAAAAATGCAAGCTCATTCGTCGTGTTCACCAAAATTATACGGGTGCTGCATTTCTTCATTCTCAACTAAATAATAGTTCATTCCATAAACATCAAACATCCTTTTTCGATCCATTCACGATGGCTTAAACGGAGACATTGATTTCACTCTGTCTCAAGGCAGAAGCCATTTCGGGCTCTAAATTGAAAAGGTAAATTTTTCTTAAATTTCGGCTTAATCTGTGACCTTGATATATCCAAATTCTTGCTGATTGTTGTGTGGCGTTTAAATTAGTTCCAGACTGGTATGGAGTAACCCGCACAGATTTCGTTTAGCTTTTCGACTGTTCTGTGCTTCATTGCTGAAATTCCTAGGCAATGATTCTGTTCGTAGAGGTTTTCATACTACTAACACGAAAGTTTCCGCTGATTCAACTGAATACAACGCAGTTCAGAAGAGTGCGTCTTGTGTGTTACCTTGACAATTCTTCTGGTATCGCCACTCACCTTGTTGGACATGCGAATAAGCATCACACGCAATTCCTAGTCTAATTCTTGCGCGTTTTTTGCCTACATTCTAGGAGCAATACATCTCGACCCTTATGCCCCTTCACCGCGACATCTCGCCTTTTCGAGTAGGTTCCCTGTTTAGGTTCTGCTGCATGAACCGTCGACTTGTGCATGTGGGCTAGTCGTTGAAGAATTTGGCCACAGAGCGTACCAATCCAAAGCCATAATCACTGATCCCGGCATGTGACTTCTTTTTTTCGCATTTTTTTCTTTGTCTAAAGTGAATTTGAGTAAATCAAAGCAACCCAAGCTAAATTTGCAACTCCTTTCATTTCCATTTGAGTCAGACGACAAACTTGCACGATGTTCACACTTCCATCCCCAAATTTCAGAGCACTTTTTCTACTTGCTTCGATAGTAACAGCCAAAAAGGATGTATCGTATGTGCTTGTACTTGGTAACGCTAAACACCTTCCTTGTTTATTTGGTTTTGAAGTACCCATAATGCGCCTTTGTGCAACGTTCAAGTTGTCGCTGCTCCGACCCACGCTACTAACTCATTTTCAGTAGCATGCCAGTGTGTTTCAATTGTTTTTTGTCTGTTCAGCTGTTGTTATTTGAGCACTGCTAGTCAGCCACCTCACACAGCTACAATCTATAGAAATAACGCGCCTCTACCGTATTTACTCCGGCAAAAGGTGCTTAATCCTTTCCTGTACTGGCTCTAGTCGTTTTTTTTTCGCATCTCCCCCAATCCCTAGTGTGTGCCCGAACTGAATCGCTTCAATATGGACGATTTTTTCCGCACCTTGGAGAGAGCAGGACCGCGGCTAACCTGCGACGTGAAGGGCGACTGGGTTGGCCTTTACAAGTAAGTCACATGCCTGCGCAAAGGCCAGGTTGTAGTGCGTGGTGGTGCTTATCCAGCCCACATCTTTTCACTTAAGCGACTGTTTCAGGGTTAAAATATCCAGCTGATAAGTTGTTTCAATTAAACGCATAGCCATGTGCGTTTATTTGTCGCTGCAGTATGCGATTCGGCTTGGAGTGAACAAACGAGATCGATTTTGGGCCCTCACTTAATCAGTGGTGTCCACAATGGTGGTGCGCTAGCGAACATGTCAAATAAATTACTGTTTTTTTTGTAATTTCCAGGTCATTCTTCTCTGGTCCTCACTTCGTCCATTGGTTGAGTCAACGGGAAGCTGACATACGTCAGAAATTGCACTCCCTTCACTTAGATGCAATAATTCGTACAAACTTCAGCACCTGGCTTGAGGAGCGATCCGAGGTGGAGATAGTCGACATGATACTCCAGCTTAATCAGGAAGTTGTAAGTGTCTTAAATGTTGATACAGAGTAATAAATGCATATTCTCACGGAATTTTATTAGCCGCCTGAATTTCGTGGCTGTTTGCGTACATTTTAATTGCCTCGCGGAGTGTTTTGGGTAGGTGTTTATTGCAAGCACTCCATCTTGCGGCCCCAATGATGCATTTTCGATTGCGTTGTTTGCGCAAGCCCCAGAATCGGTCTGTTGTTGGTCGCTGTGACTGCCGTCGACGTCTGCACTTCCGCTTTCACGTGTGCGACTCCCGCATTAGCCTGCTCTGTTTACCACTTGGTGCTCTTCTATGAACGCTCAAGCATATCGTTTTACAGAATGTGTTCTGCCACATCCAGCAGCTCGTGATTGTCGCTTGTACTTTGGTTCGAGACCAGGTTTTGTTATGCCACCTGCAAAAATTAGCCATTTTTTTCCTTGTTTCCTGTGCCCAAAAAACTCGGATTTATTAAAAAAAATAGTGGTCTCTAGTTGTGAATGTGTCAGTCACTTGATAGGATTGGCTTAACGTAGGCACTTGATGCCTGAGCAGCGATTCCCCATCGAATCGCTGTGTAGGTCTTGTCGCTTCACTAATCTCCACGATACATTTTAGTGTCGCGCTATTTTCTTAAGGTCAACTTAAGGTCGCGTCGATCTTTCAAATATGCGCACTGGTTGATGTTAACTGGTTATAGTACAACCTGGTATAAATTCCAGAATTCCCTTTCTCTACCCAACCTAACTGCTAAAAACCATCCTCCAACTATGGAGCGTGAATGTGCAGAATAGCACAACAGCGAATTTTGTTTAGCTGTTTAAGGAAAATCGAATAAAATTATCACATTCACTGTCCCCTAGTTTTCTTCAATGCCTAATGTGTTATGTTCGAATGTGGTTTGTGAAACTACAAACCCGTCTGCACCTGCCGTAGTCTGGTTAGCATGAGGGCGACCTCATTAATTATGAATGTTCAGAGAAGGGAAGTTGATTTTACTACGCGGAGCTGTATACCCCTACATTTTACTTTTGAGAACCGGCAATCGATTTCACATTAGTATTTGTTCTCTAAATTACATTGAAATCCGGGTTATTTGGAGAAATTTGTCCTCAGCAATTAGGATTCAATTGCTGCACAACTGTCGTGTGTAACTACGCATAACCTAGGTTTATGGTGGCTTTTGGTTAGTTTAAACTCTGTACTTTTAAGTGCTGTTGCCACTAGTGAATCACCACAATTACGGCCCCAAGTAGCCGACGAGGCCTAGATAACATCGCACACACTTTACCAATGATCTGGTGCGTTTGTTGACCCATTGGTGTCCACATTCAGTACAAAACCCCGCCAGAAATAACCCACAAATGCGGCTGACAACGAGAACACCGCTGTTCCACTCATGGGGTTCATTTAAACCTGTCACAACAAATCAATTTTCCGTTATGGTTGGCTGTTGACGTCGCCCTTGCAGATATGAACCTCCTTGCATTGTATTTTCTTTCTCCTTTGTGAGTAGGCCAGTCTTCGTAAGAGCGGCAGCAACTGTGACGGAATCTGTCGGCAAATCAGAGTGCTGCTGCACGCCCTGCCGGATGATTTGCAGCAGGCCGTCGGTCGCAGCAACTCCGCGCTCGGTGTACATAGACAAGACTGAGTGGATTGCGTGTATTGCCCCCTCAAACTGTGTGTTTTACCGGGTTTTATCATACTCCGCTCACCTCGTGCTACTTTGTATACTTATTTTAAAGTAGTTTTTTTTTCAAATTTGCAACGAGCCATTTTTCCTTTAAGAGGGAGACATTGGCAGTCGTGGCTGCGGTAAAACTGCATCGTTCCTAGTGCTGATTGTCTGGCAGCTTGCATGCTTGGATTAGCCATCGCAGGCAGATGAGCATTAATAAACGAGTCACTTAATTATCTGTGTTAATTTTTTTATGCGACGGGTAGCTCTGGAAAGCAAAAAAGCATGCAGGCGCCAGAAGCACGCAAAGGTCAGACGCATGGAACTACAGTGTCACAGCAAATGTCACCAAATCTATTTCCCATGAAAGTGGACCAACTGCAAAATCCTACACTCTGCTAGATGCCAACAACCAAGCTGAATTGCTGGTCTGGTTTTTTGCGCAGCAAGTATGCGCACTTGCACAATGCCAGGTTTCGTTGTAGGTATCCTCGAAAATAGCACTGAGAAATGCGGCCTCGCCGTGTTTTGCATAGCCCGAAAGTGCCACACACGTCTCGTAGGTGGTTCCTTAACCAGCTGTTTTGGAGGTAAAAATCAGAAGGGGGAATTTACGGCTGCCGGTTGCGTACAGAAACCGCTTTCAGGCAAAACAGCTAGGGGGTGTCCACGTCGTCGTAACTGAGGCAGCACCAAGTGAGCCAGACCTGGTCACTCTTCAAAGCGTGGTGATGGGGATTCCATGGTTTATCTATCACGTGAGAAGGCTCACCGGATCGATCCAGGCCTTCTGAGTTCCGTCTGCAGCCACGATACGGTCGCCACCAGTGTCCTGTCTGCGCCGGCAGTAAGAGTTGTTGCAACGATGACAACGCCCCTGGGATTTACCAGATTGACTTTACACCCGTATTTTTCCATACATTTATGCGGTGTGCCTTTCCTGTGAAACACATCAGGCGCAATCTGAGGTCTCACACGAGTAGCCGTTGATTTTCACGCACTGATTCTACCCAACCCTCTTAAAAGTCAGTTTTTTAATGCTTCAACCGCTTAACTTCTTCCTAAAACAACAAGGACCCTGTCGCTAGTTATGATTTTAAGGCAGCATTTTCAATTGGTCCTCAATATGCCGCTTAGTTTAAGGAAGCAGGCAATATACGCCCGGATCAACAATGGGGTCGTATGCGCTACCTTCCGTGTCGTCGTATGAAGGTTTGCTTTCGCTAACACTTTGCCGCCAAGTGTTTTTCAAGATTAGGAAAGCAACAACCGATAATGCCTATTCGTTTAACTATTAACACAAACTTGACAGTTTCTAGGTTTAAAAAAGAAAACACATATTTTGAAGATTATTCTTAACTTTTAACCACAAAAAAAATCGGGAGAAAAGCAATTTACACACATCTCATTGTCCATAATAATTACTAAAAAAATACATAATAATTCATTTGAATGTAAAATGGTGATACGCATTCAAACACACACACACACGCAGACACACCTTGAAAGAGCGTCTAGAGCACCGTTAGGGTAGTTGTCTCTCATGCAGGGAGTAAAGTCTGGACTGGGGCCTGAGGAGGGGAAGGAGGAGGAGAATTGCACCAAGACTGCGGGAACGGTGGGAGGCGCCGTTGCCGTGATTCTTCAAAAACTTGGGGGTGGGTGGGGTTAAACCGATTTCGGGACAGCGGGGACACATATTGATGCTGCTGACAAGTATTTGGTCCGGGATTAAAACGTGAATAAGAGTAGCGAAGCTAAAGGAAAACACAAAGAAGCGCCAGTTTTAGGGCTTTGGTTGTCAAATTGCAGCCAAAGAAGAATTGAAGGTAACCTACTGGTGAGATTCTTCAAAAATACCACAGATTATAAGTTGATGATTGATAGCACATGGCATAAACTACTGCAATTGTCTAGTCGTTCGAATTTCAAGTCACCGCCATTAATCCATCGGTTCACACACATTCGATATTTAAAGTATGAAAAATGTGTCAGGTAAATATCAGCGTCGGACTTCTTGCTCGTCCTTACCATTTTGTACTTCCGACACCACATGCCGGCCAGTACAGTCCGTTCCATCTATTATTCCTAACTAACATTGGACACTTATTGTTAGGCCTTCGTTGTCAACGAAAACTTATATCCATACAACTACTCGTTAGCACCACTGGCTGTTAAAATAGCGACTACTAAATATGAAGAGATAGGAAATTAGAACAAGGACACACAGAAAATCCATCACTTTATAAAAGAACAATTCATTAAATTAGAAAACAAAGCCTAAAACTCACGAAAAGTCATGCACACTAGCTGCTCTCTTTGCGTCTGTGGAGCAAACTAGATCGCTTCAGTTGGATTAACTCCGCTGCCGTTGTTCTCAGCGTCAGCCTGTTGCTGCTCCTGTTGCTGCACCATTTGCTGCTCAAACAGACTACGCCGATGCTCCTCCACAAGGGAGCCAAAGCTCGTGTCTAGCCAGTGGCGAATGTCCGCGTAGGTCACGATAATCGCCCGCTCGCCCTTTCGGCTGACGAGGCACAGGCGTTCTTGCGAGGCGGCCTCAACCTAAAGACGCAGGAGACAATGAGGACGCGGTGCGTAGTGGACGGTCTAAATTTCACGTCTATTCCCTCTCGCTCGCAACCGAGTAGTAGTTGAGCACCGACTTACATGTCAGCCGGGCCGCCGATTTCTAAATCTGGGCAGGAACACAACAATGGTAGAACCACCCTCGATCAAGGGTCAAATTTACCTCGGTGTAGCTACGTGCATCGCCTCCAAGCTCCAACAATCCGGTTGCCGTGATGTGAATTTGAGCCACTTCAGGGTCGTTACAAGGTCAGAGCTGCCAAGAGACCCGCATGGACTTCTGCAATCTACTATACACTTAAGTGAGAAGTTCAAACAATAATCGAGGTCGTGGGCTGGTCACCTAATCGGACACTTATCACGTTGGCGCAAAAGTAATATCCGCTTTTTTACATTTTTGGGATTGTATTCAGAGAAATTCCTCCATTATGCTAATTTTAACGTAGGCTGCTTTCAAGAATAAGTAATTTTATAACCACAGTTTTCTTTACATAAAACATTGCAAAGGGACATTACTTTTGATAATTTGTGAATACTGTTTTGTCGAACTTAAAAGAAGTTGCGCAGTTCCCTATCCATGAAGTACAATTGACGCAAACCAAAATACGGCGCAAAACGATGGCTAGTGTCCACTACATAACTGAAAGGAAGCACCTACGTAGTAAGAAGGCGGCATTTATGCATCGAAGTGTGGTTGTTGTGGACATGGACACAAAACTCAACTCAGCATAACCGACCTCTCGTAAACCACAACTTCTTTTGCACATATTGAGCGAAACAAAACATTGCCAAGAGAAGGAAACAAAAGCCCTGAGGTGATCTTAATATTGGCGAATCGATTACTGATACTTGCCGTTCCCCAAATTCCTCAAGACTAAGGTGCCACGGAAAAATGAAACTGAAGTAGACCAACCTTGTTCAGGACGGTTACGATGTGTGCGAGATCTAAGTGCGGTGCACCGCGTTGGTCCACCTGGTGGAAAACAAAGTCGCGAAACAGTTTCAGCATGTAGCGGTCCCCGGTCTCTGACCACTCGGGTTCCCGATGATCCAAGCGCCTCGTGCTAAATTTAACAAGCGTAGACTTTGGCTGCTGAATTATGCAGTGGAGCTAACACTTTGTGGTGCACACCTACTGGATGTCAATGTGCTCGGAAAGGACACAGTCGTTAAGATCATAAAACACCCAGAGACAAAGCATGGCAACCAAAACGTGGGATTCGTTTTACTTCCTAACATGTCATCGCATAAAACGCCGGCAACACGAAAGGTTAGACGAATAAAAACGCAAGTGGGTTGACCGCGTTGGAATTAGGTGTACAACGCTACAGTGGTAGTCATTATAAAATACCCCGGATTATTTATAAAAAAAGGTAAAACCGAAATGCTTGTACTTACTCGTGCCGTTCGACCACGGAGTTTAACTTGCAGATCAAACGGAAGAGTCGACCGTTCTCAAGTTCCTGAAACATTTAAAAAACCACAAAATTTAAAAATATGACCTATGTTGAGATTTTACTGTTAAAATGGGGACGACTATTTCAAGTTTTAATTACTTCTACTGATACCTCATGGTCAGTGAAATAGCAAAAAGCCTTAAGTATATTCTCTATCCAAATGCTAGTTTCAGCGTTAACACAACCAAACTAACCCGGAGTAACTGACGTTCCTGGTACTTGTTAACGCTGCAGATTGTGGACAGATGGTCATAGGCATGATTGGCAGTTGCCAATACTAGAGCGTCGACGGAAGATAAAGTGCCAGTTAAAAGGTCTTGCAGGAGGTTTGGTAGGCCTTGAGGGAACACTTGTTCTAGGATGGACAAGTACTGGGTAGGCTTCTAAAAGGCGAAAATCAATTCGCATTACCACTGTTGTGAAGCATGTTTATTCACACCGCTTAATCCGATCGCTCCACCTCCGACACAGGATTCCCCTTTACGCAGCATGTCGCCAGCCGCGCGGATCCTCAACTCCCCCCTCATTCAACCGGATATTTATCTTGGATTATCCTCACACCCAGGTCTCGAGGTTAGCGCATGTATGACTCACACACGCGCAAACCCCACACGCGACACGACGACACCAACGTGGTTGAGATCTGAAGTAAACGGTTGTGTCCACGTCCTCTCCGATCATTTTCTTCATCGCGGGTATCAAGCAAGCGTAATCGGCCCAGGATTAATTCCGTGGCACCGGCGTGATGCAAGACCACATGCTGGGGCCCATAACAACAAAAAATGAGATTATTTAAGAGACAGGAGACAAAGTGGAACTACTGCCAATGTACCAGGAAATGCCCAGCCCTACTTTGTGCAGGCTAGACACGGCGGTTCACAAGCATCATACTCGTAAAAATAAATAAAAAACTATTTCGCTACCCATGTTCGCTTCCGGGTTTGTATTGATTTTACCGGTCTGTTCAAACAGAAGGCGACACCTCTCAAATGATTCCATCCATGGGGTCGAGTAATCGACCAGGATCTATAACCTCCATTTTAGTATACATGTCTGGGGTTAGGCCAGTTCAAATCAACTGGTATTCGAGTCGAGAAAGGGGCATGATTACCTTCATAGCAAGGGGTGTACCAAAAATAACACCAAGCATGAGTTTTCCCAGGGCCACAAAGTCTCTCGCCTAAAAGTGTAGAAAGAATCTAATTAGATCACGACACTTAAAATTCAAAACACAGTATTCGCATAGCAGGTGTTTTTTTTTCTTTGTAAACGTATTTCATGGCAGAATATTACGTAAAAATACATCAAGGAACAACTAATGCTCGGTAATTCACGACGAGCAAGTTCAGAGAACAGGCTACCAGAACCATGGGCAAGAAGCTTACCTTAAGCTCTGCCATTGTGTTGGCCATTGTTGAATGGTTGATGACATCTTTCAAGCCGATGCAATTGACGAACAACCTGCAGCATTAGCATTAAAATTCACAAAAACTGTGAACTCGGGAGCTCTACCAAGAGGCTCCAGTCTTTCGTAATAAGATTACGTTGGTAAAATTTAATCAATGTCACCACAGGGTGGTCTAAGTGTAACCGAATCCCAGTTACTAGTAATAAAACTATTAAGGAAACAAAATTGTTTTACCACTGAACGACGTTGCATCCACACATTTATTGTAGGATCGTGTAATAAGCCTTTTATTTCCCTTATGTGTAATGGTTGTCAATAATTAGGGCCCCGGGTACATCTAGGCCACTTTAGTGTAACCCCTGAGGCAGCACATAACGCCAAATAATTACACTAACAGTACATTTGAATAAAACTCTCACTAAATAAATATAAGTAGAGCTATTACCGTGTACCGTCCTGAACGAGGATTTTGCTGGGATGCAGCACGCCGACACTGCGGTTGAGAGTTTGGTGTGCGAATCGGAGGGCCTGGGTCAACTGCACCAAGAACATCCACGCTGTTCGTTCTGGCAGGAGGTCAGACGGAGGTAACTCGCCTGAAGCACAATGGTCACCACTGAGTTCAGGGGCATTTGACGCGTATCAAAAATAACCACCCAGGCTGCTAGAAGATTGAATCGTGCAAAATTCCTACACAAAAATCCCGAGTACGGTTTTGCATAAATTAACCTATACCTAAGGAAGGTCGCGTAAGCGGATTTGATAAATACACGGGAGAAACTAACTAGGCGTCGCTGCTATTGGAGAAACTAAAAGCGTGCCTCGAGGCCTCAATGCTCACTAACACCAGGGTAAGAAGCAACACGTGTATGAGTCAACGTATTAAAACTTCTAGAACAGTTAAAAAAGCTTTAAAGAAGAAATTAAATATGTAACAAGGTTCCATACAGGGAATCGTAAATAAAATATACCAGAGGACTTGGCTGGATCACTCATGTGGATTTGTTGCAGAGTGTAGCAGCAAGGAAGGAAATCGTAGACGAAAATCACGGCTGTAATAAAATTAAAACTGCGATGAGATTAGAAAGCTGCTTTTAGAGAGGTGGAAGAATATCAGATAAGTGTTTAGCAGCATAACGAATTTGGGGATTTTGAGGTCGTCAAAACATGTCATAGATAATGGGGCTTAGCAACATGGAACCGGCATTTTGCACTTACGATGGAAATGCTAAATGATCAGAATAAGTAGAATAAACCATGGTGAGGCAAAGGCTCTTACAGTTGTCTCCGAATTCGTCAACGGGAACTACATCGCGTAGTTGAATCACGGAGGGGTCACTGGCATCGCAGAACTGACGGGCGAGGAAATAGGCCTCTGAGGGTAGCGGTTCCAATCTCTCCGGAAGGACTCGCCGCAGCACCACAGGCATAGAAAGACGCGGTGACCAGGCTTTAAAGCACTGCGTAGGCAGTTCCAGCGCCTCTGATACACGAGGCGTACTCGCACCTTCCAGTGGGTTCACCAGAAGATAGGGACCCAGGGTTTGAGGAAAGTCTAAAAATTGCAACGCCGTTCATCAATTAGTTCCCGAATTTCGTTATCGAAAAGAAACGAGCAACGAACCAGACAACGCCTAATTTATAAGACACAAGTAAAGGAACATAAGCCTTATCGGTGTGCCACTATCGACTGCATGAAATTTTATAACTTCTTTAAACAATGTAGGGCCTGACCAGGAATTCATGACGATGAATGCAAGCGCTAAATGCCACATAAGTATTCACAATGTTAAGGTTAGTTGATAGAAAATGCACATAGCGCAAGTAAGTTAGTAATAGACACGCGGATTATGGGAGTAAACAAATTCCCACCAGTTGGTTAAAGAAACCTTTTAATTCACCACGTAGCGCTCGACTAAACCAGAAGTGGTCAACTTTGAAAATCCCCGGTGTAATGCTCGCCCAGATATGCCAACCACTCCAATGTGGTAGTCAAGAGCTGTCACACCAAGGTATGCTGGTGCTACATGGGGATACGACTAAGAAAAACCCTGAGTTGGTCTGAAAAACGAGAGAAGGTTCCTCAAGGGTAACCACCAATTTCAAACAAGTGGCCTACATTTACGAAAGACCTTAGTAATACTGAAGTTTAGAAGACATTAGATTAGCCAATGTAGTCATTGGTTAGTGTTCTACGCGAACCACAAACCTACGCGTAACTTCAAGTGACCAGATGAGCATGAGTCTTGGGGGAAGCTGATTGGCTTACCAGCAACCAATCATTGGCTGAATGCAGTTACCGAGTGCACGTCTGATTTAGAATTTAGCCAACAAACCACTAAAGCGCTATGTAGATGAGGCTGAGGACCGTGCGGCGTTACAAGTAAAAAGGGCGCAAATGTGCCAATATTGGTAAAACCACCAGATAACCAGATCGACTTGCTTCTTCACAAGATTTAACCACAGGAATCGTAAGGATCCAGAATGGGCTAAAAAAATACCACGGCCCTGTGCAGTGCAGAAAATCGTTCTACCAGGGCTCGGAGTTTACTCCAGAAAAATTAAAGAAAAACGGCAGGAAAACTTCGAAAAATAGGATGGCAAACAAAAACGAAACAAAAAACAAGGAACTGAAAATAACCTTAAAATTACCTGGGTCTCCATAAGCACGAATTAGTATAGACATAAATAATGTAATAGCGTATCATAATTAATCAAAGAATTGCAGACGACAAATGCTGTGGCAATGGCCACGACTGGCACAACAGACTTAATTTCTAAACGACTTTTCCGAAAGACCACAAAGGAACGTGTGCCTAGATTATTCAGACAATGCCCACAATACCAACGCAGTACCTCGACCGCGAATAGTTTATGAGAATCTTTGTTCATGAAATACAATTTAGGTAGATTATATGCTTTGAGGACAAAAACAAGTTCAGGTAATCAGACTGCGTCCAGAACACATAAATCCCATCGTGAAGCGACATCCGCACAAACAAGACAATAAGCATCTGTTTACATAAAGAAACAAAAAGGTGTATTCTTTATTAGACTCACTAGACTTTGATGGCGGAGTGAGGATGCTTGCTCGAAGCTTGTTTCGAAGAGCCTAGACGAAAAATAACAGGATTGAAAACCAAAAAATAGTCAAAATCAAAGGAATATCGATTCACAAAGTTAATGAAACAAACAAGATTCCGAAAAGTCATTTTTGCGTTCATAACGGATGTTGCACAACAAATTTTACAAGAAATAATTACTGAGCACTTGCTTTGAAGCTTCAAAAGCACAAATGGGCAAAGTGCTGAAAATAGAGTATAAATTGCGTCGATTGGATGACCAAAGTAATTTGGAATTGGAGCAAATCTTTTGCCATTTTGCATCGTTAAAAGCTTACTAACACGCGAGGCTAAGTAAAATTACAAACCACAGAACTAGGAACTGTAAATTATGTAGGCGAAAAATGCAAGTGCATAAGAAATGCAAAAAAGCGCCCAAGTAATGGACTCACACGGTCCGCTTTCAAAGTCAATACCCTTGATTGAGTACCGATCGATTGAGCAGGTAAGAAAGTCAGAAAAGCTATTAAGGACCTTAAAGACAGGGCTGACGACAGCTCGAGAGGAAGCGTATAGGCGTCATGACTAATATCACTCAGACGTACTCACTGGGACTTGACCTCGGAACGGTACTCAAGCGCGATATAGGCAATACCTGATGGAGTGCTTGATCCATGTACGAAACGCCAGAGGACCTGTCGGTGAGGAGATTGCTCTTCAAGTTATTCGATCTCCCAGTCCTTAGGTGGTCTGCGACAACAGCAGGTGCAGCAGGATTCAAAAGCCATTGAGAATAATCAGGTTGGCCTTTTGATATCTCTGCCTGGGCGTAAATTGCCGATGATGGAGTAGAGGAGAGCATAGGATTAAAGGAACCGCCCCCATCACATGGAACACACCGAGGAGGTACTTTGTGTGGTCGGGGAGCCTGGGGTCCATTAAAGCCAGTGATTTCGTTAGAAAATGTTGACCGTTGATTAATACCAGAGGACTTGGACTGATCAGCCGGACGCGGAGGAAAGCGGCCAGAAATAAAGGTGGATTTCAAAAGATTATCCTCGAACATCTTCGGGTCCAATCCACTACTTGACTTTAGAAACAGAGATGAGTGAACGTTGATAACTGCGACAAAAGTGCATAAATTTGCTATCCCAATTTTGCAACAAATAAGCAACTCCTATTTGATAAGTTTGCAAAACAAACCCCGAAAATGCATCAAAATTATAACCAAAAAGAGTAACCATTAGGTGAGTTTATTGCACAGTATTGCCATAATTCAACCGTCGAACCTAGTATAGTTATGGGCTGACGAATAGGTAAGTGCAAAAAAGGTAGTTCAACATATGTATGATAAAACGATCAACAATTTACCAAAACGCGCTTGATAAAAAGTTTTGAAAAACGTGCAACTGTAATAATCGGTGCAAAATCTACAGATTAACCAGGCACCAATGACATAAATTTCTAAAGTTTGTGCAGTCATAAGAAATGAAAATTACTACCCTAAAAACAAACTTCAAAGAATTGATGAAGCGAAATCATTTACACAAAAACTCACATCCGGAAGCTGGCCTAAAAGCTTGCTCCTGTCCACCCAAGGACCAACGTTAAAAGGCTGCGGTGGTTGAAATGCCTGGGCTGAAGCATAAGCTGATGTACTACGCCTAGATCCTATCCTGTGTGTAGAATCAGTATTCTGATACGGAGAATTAAGACAAGCGTTCGCAAGTGAAATTGAAAGTGACGTTAAATCATGGCACTCCGTATTCTATAACACAATTAATTCCTAAAATTATTGACAATACGGTAAGATTATGGGAATTGAAATTATAGCGCGTGGGGGGAATTATCGGTGCAGAATTTCCTTGCTGGAAAAAGTTGGCCATATTGTAATTGCCAAGGTCAACAAAGAGGCTAAGTCCTAAAAGGTTCGTCAGAACTATATTCGAACATTACCTAAGAAGAGCTGCTGAAAGAGACCCTCTTCGACAGACACAAAGAACAGAATAACGGTCAACTTCAAACCTACTCACTAATCAACTAATGACTTAAACGAACCAGAGTTTTATTTGCTGCTTTATTATAAAAAGTAGTTTTCAACGCCTAAAAATCCGCCCTTGCAACATTAAAAAATATCATAAAATTTTCAAGCTTTTTTCTCATGTAGGTGAACAAAGTGTGTATCTGTTATGATGGCAAGGCTTTACAAAAATGAATCATTTTCAGGAACATTTTTTTTATTTTGTTTGCTTTATGTATATAAGTTTAAGACGCAGCAATCGAAAAAAGTATGTAAAGTTTTTTTGGTTTAAAGATAAGGGTGCAACATTCGACAATCCTACGGCATATATTCTAATATGGTAAAGGGCTGTTATTCCTTGACATTTGATAATTTCAACATTTTGTAGAAAATATCGCATTGCCTTTAATGACATAATATCAGGTATGATATCAACTATAGCGCTTTTTCTGACATAAATTTGATTTTGATATGTATATATGTTTAATATATGTTGTATAAATCTCCTTCACAAAACAAAGTTTTATGCCGCTGCAAATTTACGAGGAGAATATCTACCTAATCTATTAGGGATCAATTTTTTGAGTATATCGCTGTCAGTACATCGGCTGCTTCGTTGACTTAATATAATTTCATTAATTTATACATTAGGGCATCAAACAACATTCAGATTATGTGGAGAAGAATAAGACAGTAGCGATTAAGGAATTTCAACCAAAACAACACACTACCGACACCTGAAATATGACAATATGGGCAGTGCGGATTATCAACTTTTACCATGGGAATTAACATGCACATTTTGAACTATGTCAGAATACGAATATGTGTGTTGGATATAGTGTTAGGACAAAAAGTAAAAAACACGTCTTATTTTGACTTTACAAGTCGTCAACTTTAATCAGATAATTTAATATTTTGCAAGGTAGCCAGTGACTACCAACAGACGAATTAAATATAGTTTTAAGCATACGAACGTAATAATATCGAATTTGATTTCAAAATCGGAAAAAAATTTTTGTACACTTCGTAATGTAAAAATTAATATGCTCGTACTCCAGTAAGAAAACTACACGTTAAAAATGAAATACATTTACCGGAATATCCCACCTGAAGTGATTTCAGCGCAAAAACGTTTTGAACTGCCGTAGGCATTTTCATCGACGTGAACACGAAGTTGCTGAGCAGTTAAAAAATGGGATCTAATGGGACATTATAGCTCACAAATCTGTCCATTAAATAACTACATCAAAGGCTTACTCGAGTTGCAATTGGGTTTGATTTCAAAGAACATTTTGTGAGAAAGTGCATGTCATTAAATCTTTTTGCTGCAATGATGCACGTGTCAGTGTCTAGAGGAGTTGAATGGTCACCTGAGTGTATGCATTCTATCCATTGTCTGGAAGCCATTAACGCTTGAAGATGCTTAGTTTAGCAGTTGAGGAACCATTATTTGTGCAAGTTTTTATGGCATGGAAACGTGCTTACCACGTTCTGACAGTGTAATGACTGAAGTTGTGATGCCTGAGTGACCACCCTCTAAGGCCCGTAGAGCTATATTCGGTTTTTACGTATGGAGCTGCATTTCTTTACAATTTAGTCTATTTACATATGTCATCTGAGTATTTACACAGGAGGCAAGGCTATGTTTAGCAGTTCTGTTCTCAAAATCATCAAAATTTAGTCTTTTTTAAATCTCTTTTTGCCTAATTCACTGAAACCTCTGTGCCACTGTATGTAAGGCTATTTTCTGAAGCGTATGAGCAAGCTAACGAGCATGTATCTACTAGCGTTCACTGCTAAAACCTTAATGCACGTATCTTTTACATGAAAATTTAAGCATATAATTATCAATGTTGCATTCGACGAACAGTCTAGTTGATCAGCCACATTCGAGACTTTTCATATTTAACAGACTTATATTGAGCATTTCTAATTTGGACTCTCTTTCTTAACTGAAATTGTCTACAGAACGTTTTTAGGTAGCTAAAACGCTTGTCGACCCGATGCAGAGGTGTGATCGCACGCCTCCTGAGTTCATCACAGAATGTAGTACTGCTTGTGAATTGGAAGTCGATGCAAGCCATCCGTGAGCCGAGAACTGAAGGAGGGCATGCAAGCGTCAAGAACTGCTTTGCTTCTGAGCGTTCATTATTTGAATTAATTATTGCGAAATTGTTGGAGTCCAAGTGATTAATCATTGGTTGAAACGAAACCCTTGTTCTTTAGCGATACGATATTTGTGTCGGGTTTTGTCTAAAACAACGAGACAATTGATATTTTTCTACCCGAGCACTTTCCCGCTGTCTCTCCTAATCTTGTTATTTCAAGCAACACGGGCACTGTTTACGTGAAATCCAATTCCTTATATTTAGTCAAATGTACAAATTGCGCCTCCTGTTTCGTTTAGTTCACTTCACGTTGGGTCTAAAATTTAAGCGATTTTGTCAATGCCGCAAAACGAAAAGTTTGTCCTTTCATTGGAAACAAAAAACTAGCTCTCATTGATGATGTTCAGTTTGGAGTGGACAATTTACCTAGAGTGATCGCAATGGACCATAAAGCCAATTTCGATGTGTCAAGTATGGGCAGAAACAGCGATTGAGTTGACAACGACTTACTGTGATAACATTCGCCCCAGACCAAAAGACGAGGGTTTTGATCACATTAGTGACAGATTTAAATAGGTTTGTGTAATGTTATCAGGGATCATTAAAAAATTAGTTTAATGAAAGGTATGGCATCATTTCTCCTTATTTCTCTCTGTTAGACAACATAGTAAGCAGGCATTGTTCCAACTAAGTAGTTTGTGTTCTTGGTTTAGGGATGCTTCTTAGCAAAACAATAAACATTTTGGCACACAAAATTAGTATGCTTCAAGTTCTACGTTTGCATTACTAGATATGTGCTTGAGATTTCGTTCAAAATAAACAACGATAACAGAGCCAGATGAATACCGCCTTTATCGTAGTTGCCTAGGTTTACGCATGTTTGGCGTATTTTACTTGTCAAATTATACTCTTCATTAAAGATACCACGTTTGTGCAAGAAGGACTGCCGCATTAAAATCCACCCACAAACTGTACAAAAGACATCGAGCCACCGCACTCCTATTTTAAATAATGCTGCTAAAATTTCTTTTGCATTTCCAAAGAAAGTCTAGTCCATAAATCTGCACACACTGTCCCAAATAAAGCAAATTCATTTGTCACTCTTTACAGAAATCGTTCAACTAATGCTATGGACAGGATTTCCAAAACATTGGTAAATCGGTGGCCATGCATTGTGCATTTTGCACGTCATGATGTACAGTTCAGAGACTAGAACAGAGCCCCAGTACGCAAACCTATGTTGCGCTATTTGGGCTTCACAATTGTTATATTTTAGTGCGCATTTAAATTCACGCATTCTTAATCAATAACAGCACAACAAAATGAACGTTCAAGATTTTTATTGCTGCAATTCATAACGGGGACAATTTTACTATTACAACGTTAGCTAATGTAGAAAATAACAAATAATACAAATCAACGATGTAAGGCGTTGTTCGACACTTTCTCCAAATTTAGCCTTCTTCGCCTTCTTCTTCCTCGAACTCGCCCTCTTCTTCCGCGCAGGCGTCTTGATATTGTTGGTATTCGCTCACCAGATCATTCATGTTTGATTCGGCCTCAGTAAACTCCATTTCGTCCATACCCTCACCAGTGTACCAATGTAAAAAGGCCTTTCGTCTGAACATGGCCGTAAACTGCTCACTGATTCGCTTAAAGAGTTCTTGAATAGCTGTGCTGTTACCCACAAAGGTCGAGGCCATTTTTAAACCTCTTGGAGGAATATCGCAAACTGCAGTCTTGACGTTGTTTGGAATCCACTCGACGAAGTAACTAGAATTCTTGTTTTGAACATTGAGCATCTGCTCGTCAACATCCTTCATGGACATTCTTCCACGAAATATCGCTGCAACCGTCAAATATCTACCGTGTCTAGGGTCACAAGCTGCCATCATATTTTTGGCGTCAAACATCTGCTGTGTTAACTCGGGAACTGTGAGTGCCCGATATTGCTGGCACCCTCTGCTGGTGAGGGGAGCAAACCCTGGCATAAAAAAGTGAAGGCGCGGAAAAGGGACCATATTAACAGCCAGCTTCCGAAGGTCGGCGTTCAGTTGACCAGGGAAACGAAGACACGTGGTAACACCAGACATTGTTGCACTGACCAAATGATTAAGGTCGCCATACGTGGGAGTTGTCAGTCGCAAAGTACGCAAACATATATCGTACAAGGCTTCGTTATCAATGCAGTAAGTCTCATCTGTGTTCTCAACGAGTTGATGAACTGACAACGTCGCGTTATAGGGTTCCACAACGGTGTCCGAAACCTATACCAGATAAGTAACAAAAGATAAAGAACATACCTTTGGGGATGGTACAACCGAAAACGTGTTCATGATTCGATCGGGGTATTCTTCTCTAACTTTGGATATCAGAAGTGTACCCATGCCCGAGCCAGTGCCGCCACCCAGCGAGTGAGTTAACTGAAAACCTTGAAGGCAATCACATGACTCCGCTTCTTTTCGAACGACGTCAAGCACGGAATCAACTAGCTCAGCGCCTTCAGTGTAATGGCCCTTCGCCCAATTGTTCCCCGCACCACTCTGCCCGAACACGAAATTATCTGGGCGAAATATTTGGCCAAACGGCCCAGCTCTGACACTGTCCATGGTCCCTGGTTCCAAGTCAACCAATATGGCCCGAGGAACGTATTTGCCACCTGTAGCTTCATTGTAGTAAACATTAATGCGTTCGAGTTGAAGGTCGGAATCGCCGTGGTAGGTTCCAGTTGGATCAATACCATGTTCATCTGATATAACTTCCCAAAACTACAAAATTACAAACACAAATCAGAGACTTGCCTTTCCGCCAATCTGATTACCACATTGACCAGCTTGAACGTGAACTATTTCTCTCATGTTCTCATGCGCCGAAACAAGTAGCAGTACTCAAACTCCCGCCTCGTTAACTGCGATGTTGCCTGTGTTACTGAACAAACTTTCATTTTAACCAATCGATAACATTCCTCATTAACTTAAACTGCTTTAACTGCCAATGAGCGAATCCAAAAGCTTTTCGCGAACTTTGACGAAAAGTCTGTTTTGGTGTTTATTTTTGACCAAATTATAAAATTCAAAAAATATATAAGAACCAGAGTGAAAAATTGCTGCACATACGCTTAAAAGCTATGCCATGCACGAATATAATGCCTGCCAAAATTAGCCCCAAATATGATCCATCTCTGCACTTTGGTTGTCCGCATTACATTAGATTTGTGAGTTTTCTCTCAAAATTCATTTATGACATCAAATTTACCTGCCTAACTGACCTGACATTTCAATGCACCACAACTGATCTCGGTGTTTAGTTTTCTTGCATCCCCCTTACGATGAGCATTGACTCGCGCCTACGCAACTGATCCTATTTTAATTTTACTTGCCACTGTGATTTTCCACTCGATTTTGATTATCTTTCCAGTCATTTATAGCATTCGGTGGCAAATAAAATTTCAGGAATGGAACAGTGAGCTTATTCCATATTCCAATTCCTGGTATGATGCTTCATAGTTTGTGATGAATTGATGTGTGAGAATTGATGTAGCTGTATTCGTCATCACACGACGCAATTAGTGTGTGCATGCGTGTTCTTGGTTGGGCAAACATACGTCACATCTTTAGCGTCGGAACAGGATTAAGGATGGACTTTACCAAACCGCACTCGTTGCAAATTACTCACGAACTGGACAGTGTCATTGCGACAATTGCCTGCTGGTTTTTATGTTTCAATTGGTTTTATGTTGAATCAGGCAATTTTTGTTGATTGTGTTCTTCAGGCAATTTTTGGACCAAACAATGCTCGATTGCCGAAATTGACGACGTAGCATTCAGCCACAATTTATATGATTACAGGATTGCTTTAAATTATGTGGTGTTCATAATCGAACACTCACACTTATATTTCTGTCTAGGTGTTGGAGGCCTTGAAATATCTTTGTACTGCTGCAAAAAACACAATATCATTCGCCAGATTAAATGCAGATATTCTTGCCGTGTGATTTACGAATTGTCCTTAAGCTCCATTGATGCCTCGTAATGTATCCAAGAGATTCTGATGACTTTGAAACATCCTTATTTAGCTGATTTACATGGAATTATGTTAGGTTGAGAGGTGATTTCGATTGGTTTCATCACTGGAAGATGCCACATGGAAAGTGCCAGTGGAAAAATAGGAGCGTAGCTAACTACATGTCAATGAGGCTATTTTAAGCCTTTGAATAAGAGGAGAAACTGGTCTGGGACAACTGTGGATGAAAATCACCTGTGTAGGGAGAGCGCAGCCAACAAGCATGACTCGACTTGACGGATGTTGCGGGGTTTTCGCTTAATATCTGCAACAATATAACCTCACTCCTTGCTTCATTCGCCTTCAAATAAGAGATGTAAGCGTTCTAAGGACGTTAGAGTTGTTGACCTGCTCGCAATTGGTTTGAGCGAGCATAAAATGCTCGATATGAATTGACATTGCAAATCCGTGTAAAACAGGTGCACGATAACGAAGAAGCTGATACAAATAAATGACAAGAAGCGGTACTAGTTGTTTTTCTTGTAGTAACGCTCTGCTACAAGCATCTGGCCTTCTGTCACATTATTTTTATCTTTCACCATGCCTGCTCTAAAACAGATTTCAGTGTGAAACAACATCTATTGGTGAAGGAACGTTAATTGTTTAGAATGTATCGTAATATAAGACATTACAAGGTAAAAGGCAATGCCTGTTGTGGTATCTTCTTTCACTTGAGCCAACAAACCACCTTTGCCAACAGTGTGCCAACTAAAAAATTAAACCTGAATTTCTCCTTTTTATTGAATCCGATTCATTTGCTTGACACGAGCCATCTCTTCTCTAGTTATCGTAATAAACAATATTTGGTTGGTTATATGGTTCTTACCTTAGCATATGTCGCCCTCAAAAACATGGTATTTGTCCGATGCCGGTTGACCCGATGCAGTATTCCTCGTTAGGTTAGAACACTGCCTACTCGAGTCACAAAGTATTGTAATGGCACAATAAGTCCTATATGATTTCGACTGGCCTCAAATTGCGTCAAAATTTGTACCATCATTACTCGTGGTTAGGTTATTTGGACTGGATGTCGGAATCCCTGTCGACTTGTGTTAACTTGCCCATTTAATTTTTTAACACAATATATTTTTAAAAATGATATCTGCGTAATCTCACTATGCATTGGGCGAAATTGTAACATTGATTGTCTTCGTTTATTTCGTCAAATAGTGAGGGAGCTGTTCTAGGTCATGACCCTTTATTTACAGTGTCACCGTTGAAAGTTCTGGTAATGGCTTCAGGAAATTATCGATTATTTGGACCAAAACAAAAGTATGGATCTATTTAATTTTCTCTAAACCTGTCTATAGACGTAATAGTCACAGGAGTTCGATCAACGGACTTGTTCGGCCACTCAAGGAAAGCAGTCCAGCTCGAAATGTGTTTAGTGAAACAAATCTTCCACCCCCTTACCAAATCGTAATGCTTATATTATTTATTTATACAAAGGCTGATAATATCAATGGTTTGGGGAGCCTTGTCTGTGACTGCGGAAAACAGTCACCCTGTGAATTATGTAGTATTCGCGTTCATATGGCAAAAACGCTGCATTCGGCGCTGCCGTTTGTTGATCGCATTATACGGATGAATTTTCTAAACGTAGACGCGCAACAAGACAAGTAGGATATTGTCAATTTTTGTACAATTGTAGAAAATAGTGCATTGGTTGCATTCAACAATAACCTTAAAAAATATTTCAAATCCTATCCGGCAGTTAAAAGAAGGTTTGTTCAGATTCCTTTTGCAATTCTAGAACTTTGTTTTATGCTAATGCGCACGATACAAAAGAACCAACTTGCAATCAATTGATCTTTGAGCGTGACGCACATGCAGAACATTCCCAAGTCGCAGTTCTTTGGGTACGTTGATTTTTCGTGGTCGATTTTGACCTCACCCACGTTTTACTCCAGACAGATGACAATCAATGCCGGGGCCCAAGCAAAGTGAAGTGTACCGACTTTTCCAAAGAACGTCCACTTAAGTGGCTATCTGACTGCTTCACCAAGGAACAGGAATCAGATTTCTTTAGACAAAAGTGGTCAGACGACGGATTTCTCCATTTATATGCAACTCCAGAAAAGGTAAGTTTGAGCGGCTTGAATTGGCATTGCAAATACTCTGCTTCTATTCAAACTGACGCACAATTGTTGCATCAATCTAAGCCACTGTAGTGAATAGAATTGATCACAATATTACTATTCATACATGTGTTTTAAATCTTTTGATTTATACTTGCTTAGAAAATGAAATCATGCATCACCTTACTAATCTGGTGTGATGTGAGAAACATATTTGCCTTTACAGTTTCTTACGTGACTTTATTTAATTAATGCAGGTTAATTTGACTGCGAAACACCGGCATGCACCACCTGGAGTAGATTGGCCGGAGTGTGTTTCCAACACCAACGTTGCTGTCTCACATTTCTTCCTTCTGCTTCAATGCAACAGTTTTGTATCGACATTGGGAGATGACCCTGCGTCATTGTGTGCCACGGTATATCTCTTTGACATTGTTCAAGGATGTCGGCTCTCAGAAGAATTCAACCTGAATTCTATCCGAACGGGCATTTTCCGCGTTAATGCTAAATGCAGAGATTCAACCAAGTGTGTTAGTTATGTTGCAGATCGGAATGTTGACTCGAAAACGCGTCAGCACGTTCGGCGTAAAGAAGTACAACGGTATTTTGAGGGTCTCTTTCTAATTATAAAAGTACGTCCATTTAAAGTTCTTAGGCAGTCTGATTGCCCTCTTTGTTAATTATTTCCTGCCGTTTGTTTTTCTATTTTCTGCTACGCGTTTGATTCTGCAAAGTCTGCTAATTTGTGCATTAGTTGGTGAGGCACACTGACTCTGTGTAAAAGAATATGAATATTATACCTGTTTTATGATAAAAAGCAAATTATATGCAGTAGCTGTGACGCAATAGGTGAGGCCTGCTATTGCATTTATGTTAACCCAAAAGATCTTGAATTGTTTTGTAGATTAGCAAGCAATTTCAAATCATGGGAAACACCACAAGGAACCCTGATCTCATTTTGACCGACGTAAGCATTTGTATATGTGTGTGTATGTGTTTTTTGTTTCTATGCGTAAAAACAGAAAAAGAATCCTATTTGTTTATCCTTAGTTATGAAACATACCTTCTAGCGTTTAGTGCCGTGATTTTAATTTAATCGGAGATAACCATCATTTGAACAAACAGAGGTTAGGGACGCATTTGATATCGCTAATTTCTTTGCCACGAAACACTTACTCTCTCGTCTTTTTATAGTGTTATTTGCAGATACAGCTTATATTACCAAGTGGAATTCTGTCTCAACTGTGATAATTGTTCGACTGCTTACTCTTAAACTCAAATATTTGAATGCACTTTCCTGTTAAACCTTGCAAAATCTTGTTGTGGGGATTACTTTCCGGGCATCACCTTAATCTGAATTCAACTTTTTCTGATGTAACTGTAATCTTAAAAGTGTTTGCGTATTTTTGGTGATTTTTAGCAAAGTTAGTTGTAATGTGAACACTTTTTAAACTGCCTTGCGGCATTTACAAAGATGTGAGCAGGATGTTGCTGTCCGGTCCAACTAATACGATCTAGCGAGCCATGATAGGTCACAAATAAATCCTTGAAATAAACACCAAGAAGGCTTACTTATACAGCAATTCGAAATTGATGTCAAGGCCCCATTTACTGCATTAAGACACGAGTCAGTGACTACTGGAGTTGAACAGTTTGCTTAGTGTACGTACAATATCAATTGTTTGAAAATCAATAACACTTGAAGATAATTGTTTAATTTACAAATGACTCATCCATGGTAGAGGTACTTGTGGTTTGCAGTTGAAATACCTGAGTGGCCACCATCTAAGGCTCCGCAGACCTGAATTCGTTTTTTACGCATGAAGCTGCTTTTCTCCACACATCAGTATATTTGCTCATGTCATTTAAGTATGTACGCAAAATTAAATTGTATTTTAAGCACCTATATGCTCAACCATTCCAAAAATTTTGTCCTGATGCCCAAAAGCTCTTTTGCCTAGGCTAAGGAGACTTACTCATCCTCGCCTTCAAAGTCGCAGAAATCAGGATCTTATCTTCGCCAGTCCGGGTTGCTGACGCCCTTTGCATGGACCGCCGTTGATTTGTCAAATGCCGTGTCACACTTTCAGGATTTTCAAGTTTCACCAAGGCGACGGCACACGAGTGCCTGCGAGCGACTCCAATCTACAGATCACAAAGGTATGGCAAATCATTTATCTTTTTTCCAGCCGAAAATTTGCCATCTCATGTGTAATAAATGGTTAATTCAAGTGGAATACATTGAAAACACCAATATGATCTCTTCCGTTGCAAAGTTTCAAACGTTTTTTATCCTGAATTTGCCCCCTTTTAACTAATACCTATTTCCTTTGTTTGATTAATTTGCTTGTTAATTTTGTGCTTAAATTGCTACTTTCAACAAATAAGAAGCAAACATTTCAGAGGTTCAAAGCCAACGGATGCTTGAGGTATTTAGACGGCCTCGCCTGTTTTCGGAATCTGGTGACCTGTTAAGACGACCTTCACGCAATCGAACAATTTCCAACGACCGGTTAGCAGATTTTCACCACCCAGAGAAACCGCATGAAAGCACGCACACACGGGAATGCGACGAGAAGCAGCCGAATTCAAATTCATCAGAAGAATCCTTGGCAGGATGGACGTCAAATAGTTCCAGCTATGATTCACAGGATGATCCGCCAAAGATCGGGCTAAACCTCTGCCTAACTACGCGAACGTTTATTAAAAAGGTATTCTATTACCGTACCAATTAAATTTATCCCGTTAAACCTTGGATTTTATCTTCGTTCTTAGTATTTGTCCTGATCAGCATTTTGCTAGGGCTTATCGGTATCCGTTAGATAGAAATGAGGTCCTATTGATCTACACAATTTCATGATACATTTTAGTTTACTATTCGCGTTAGTAAGGAAATACTTTATATGTAACACAAAAACAACATGCAAATAAACTTGCTGTTTGGGCAAATACTAATCATTATTATTACCATAAACAAAAACAGAAAAACCCAATAATTCTGTCCTGTAGAAGTATCATCATCTGTATTGTTTGATAACTTGCGTTTTAGGATTTGACCGTAGGTAATCATACTTTTGAAATTGAACGAACACTCTTGGAAGTTTTCAAGTTGAAGTCAGTGTCAGGTGCCTCAGTAGCATCACAGAACCCCTGGGTACACGACGTGCCCCCTCAGCTGAGCCACGGGCACCCGCTGCGTCGAATCAAGACCATGACTGGGCAGGCCGAGCTTACCATATCAGGGCAAATCGTGGCTCCATGGGAGCTTGCGCGTCGCCTCAAGAACACCACGATCTACTCTGCAGAGGGAGATCATCTAAGGACCGGTGAATCAGAAATTCTCATGCAAGAAGTCCTGGAATTTCCAACGCCTAGAAGAATATTTCCATTCAACAGGCCCAGGTATTTACTAGTGCCATATTTGCTTTTTCAGCAGTCACATAAAACTTCGTCCTATAATACGGGTACTGTTGCTTTCAGAAGATCAGTATTCAAATCCTAATACCTTATTAAAAAGGGACGTTGTAAAGGCCGTTAATGCAGCCGACACGTTTATCATCTCAAAATGCATCCTCCAGTAAAGTATACGCGTATAAACCCCCATAAATTGAAAAGAAATGTAAAATATAATTTGGATTGATATCCTGTTAATTTGAAAATGGAGGTGCCGGATAAAGTCTTGTTGCGAAAAATTGAATAGCCTCGTTGAACGTGTCCATGATCAAACAGAGTAATCAAGAATTCCTTAAATCAGTTTATGAATTTATTAATTAGTGGCGCCGTTATTTGGTGATGTTCTGCACCTTGATTTGTCAGTGGATGTTAGTAAATTATACTAGAACTAATTTATAACGATTCTCTATTTACTACATTAAGTCATGAGTCAGTCAGCGAGTAGCATTGTAGTGATGAAATCGGTGCAATTTACGTGGTGCCGTGCCATCTCAGGTCGTCAAAGACCCAAGTAACTTATTCCAGCAATCAGGTTTTTGAAGTTAACTTTTTTTAATTTATTGTTAGAAATCTGCTCTACATCTATCCCCAAAGCGTCAGTTTCATCGGTTCCAAACCTTCCTCGAAAAACATCAAAATAGCTGTGCAGTTACGCCATGAAAACTCCACCGGATGTCGTCTTATTCCGGAAAGTTTTACTTACCCTGTCTTTTGACTTTTGTATCTAGGGTCTTATGCATTAACTACTTGACACGTAACCTGCTATTCTTGTACCTTTCGAATCTTGTCGAGTAAAATCCTTGAATAATTAGAAATCCCAAGCCGTCAGCTTCGTCCCTCATTTAACCACTAGTAAGAACAGTGTTGGTTATAATCCGACGAGGCTGATGATGTTTCTCTGTAGCTTTAAAAATTTATCAAAAGGATATATGATTTCGCTGCTACATTCTCTATTTGTAGGCCTTCCCTGTTGGTATTGTCACAGACCGGTTCAGGACCGAAGCTTGCACACATGTAATTTTTAAAAACAAGTAAGGATGACCGAATAGCGTGTCGCTACTCCTTAAATTCCTTCCCTTATCCCCTTGCCTGTCTCTATGCCCCGCGCAATGTCTGAAGTTATTTATTTTAAAAGTGAAGTTAATTATCATGACCAGAATTGGTATACGTCCTAACGAGTTAAAGCTTACTTACATCCAACGTTTATTTCCACAAAAACATCACTAATGGAGAACTTGCTTTTTTGGAGGAGGTAACAATTAAAATAAGTTTACTAGCAACTAAAGACAAAGTTCAGAGCGTCAAAAACTGTGTTTAGTGATGGAAGCTTTTAATACCAACGTTTCTCCATCTGAAACCGCTTTTGAATTAATTTCAGGTCGCCTGAATACGTCGATGAAATCAAAGTGGTTTTGCCACCAAACCTCGACTCGAATCACTACCTTCTGTTCACATTCATCAACGTCACGATCTCTTCGCACGAAATGACAGAATCTGTGCTTGGTTACTCGGTAAGTCCAGGCAAACTCCAATTTTTCGCCGCGATTGAAACTAATTCACCGTAACAGACGATCTTTAACCACTTTAGTGGCTTCCATTGTTGTCTGATGGACGAATATGTGCAGGAGACGATACACTTTACGTTACCCACAACTCTCCAACGCTTCAAATGACGCAAACGAAACCGTCGGTATCGGAATTTCCCTCAGGGGTTAGTTCGCCAATGAGTGATGGTTTACAATCCGCCTTTGTGTTCATTTTTAATGTTGTTTTTTACCTAGAATCAAAAAGAAACAATTAGAATATTTGATCCATCCAAAACCGCCTTTCGTGTACGTGTGGTTCCAGTAAGTAGTCTGTACCAGGGCGATGCTCCGACACGCTCCATTGTCGAAGTCTGCGCATCTGCTAATTTGGCGGAAACCATCAAATTAATGGGAGAACGAGACATTTTCTCGGAGCAGCCAGAGTTGAATCCTCAGTACGTCAATATCTTGTCTACATTTCCCTACTTTTGTCCTTGTTAGCAGTGTTAATTAATGCTTTTTTTCTTAGCAACACGCTTACTTTACAAATTATGTTTTAACAAATAATTTGGTGCCTTTAATCCAGGTAGCGTGGCGACTACGTGAGTAGAAAACTGTTCAAGTGCTCGTATGAATGAAAGTTTCTCATAGCAAGCCCGTTCTATTGTCTTAACGTTGAGAAATTATTCATCATCAGAACTTACCAATTTTCTACAATTTTAAGGTTTGTTTCTGAACCACTCAGACAATAATCTTTAACCACACACTCGTGCCCACTTTTATCTCTTCTTCTCAATCAAGCATAATATGTCCAAGTTAGTGATTACGAAAAACGTGTTCCGTACATAACCTTCAGATAAGAAAGAGTCTAGTTTGGGAATTATCGCGATCTATTCCTACCAGTGGAATTGTGTCGACCATGTCAGCTTCTGCTGCTCTTTTTAGATCACCTACTCCACCACTTCTAGCGCACATCGCACACACAGAATTGAGTTATCTTGTTCTGCATTTTGGACCAATTATGGACGGACTTTTGCAAGCTTTGGGCACGTCTTTGCTGCAAGGCGGAGGAATGTCAGCACAAAACTTGATTAACTTGTTGTCGCTTTACGTGCATCGGATTTCCACGGGTCTCTCTGATTGGAATGAACGAGGTACTGGTCGCAATCATCTGATGTGTGCGTATTTATCAGGGATTGGAGGCCGTTCAACTGAGGATGGTACGTTTGAAGTCATTAGCTTAATCAATGTAAGAGGGAACAATTCAGTCGCATTTATGATTGTATTAAGCTTAGCTTGTAACCAAGATCTATACACTCAGGTAACCAGCACCTCAGATTCCCTTGTCTGACGCCAGGCCCCCACCCTTCCACGCTGATATAAGACAAGGCATGACCTCCTCCAGAGAGCTTTTATTGTCTCAGCCAGTAATCATAATGGATCCACTTGTATAAGTCACGGATGACCTTAACCTGATGGATCAAGGCCGATTAGCACGGATCGGGCTGTCTGTAGGGTACCGTGGTTGACACCCATTTAAGTGGTGTCATTAGGGTAATTGCGTTAACAATGCTGAAATACTAATTTGTGATGAGCCATCATGGGGAATGCTGGATGCCCAACAGGCTGTTTCTAAGGCATCCGAGAATCTGTACGGAAATCTCTTTTGATCCGTGCAGCCCCTTTGGTAGCGACTTCTTACAATTCGACTGCGAATGTTAACAACGGTGCTGTCTGCAGTCTTATTACTACGCTGGTTGAGTTGAGTAACCTGCACAGTAGCAAATGTCTGTGATTTGGTAGTCCAAATCACTGGACAATAACGTCTTTTCATGCGTTGATGATGACTTGCCACTTTAAATAAGCAATAGGGAATTCCAATTTTCCAAAGACCTGGGTTGATCAATTGGATCTAATCATTGAATCTATTAGTACGTTTGCCAACCGCACTGTACAAATCATCCAATCATTTTGACGTTCTAGAGAAACTTTACAGTAAACTAAATTAAAAAAAGCCTTGAGATGGTTAAATGTTGAACCAAATATTTTGTACTAGTCATGTAAATTGCAAATGCGTGTTCTCTCTTCGTGTTTATAACCGATTTTTATTGTGTGTTCAGCAGCAGCAAGTACATGCAAGTAAATAAATGCATTTTTGCTGTATTTCAGCTGTGCCTTACCTGCTCTCGGGATTCCCAATGTTTGGTCTTTCCTGGATTGATGATGTTTATGAAAATATTCCCACATCAAATGACCAACCACCAAAGGTAACGCAAATGTCCACAAAAGAAACTCCACATTCGCCAACTTTTTAAACGTGGTTGTGAATTTTGTTTTAGAAATTGCACGAGGAATTGCTTCTATGCCTGCTCTCTCAGGTTATCACTAAAACTGTGTTTTACAAGCACTTCCATGAGGATACGTTCTGGTTCTTTCTGGAATTACTGGTATGCTTGGAATAATTTAACAAATTTTAACTAGGTAATAAAATGTGGTTGGTCCAAAGGCAATGTCCACTTACAATATTTCTATTTAAAATAAAAGTACCATTTTTAAAAAAAACCAATTTTTGTAGCACAAACTCGCATAAATTTTCTAATTTGATATCCAACTTTTACTAAGTCCTATCTAAAACATTTATAATACTTAACTGACATTACTTGAGGATTTTATTCTTCGTGAATAACTTGCATTTTGCTGGACAGTACACGGTTTGACGTGATCAAGGATCTTGAAGCTAACTTTGGCTTGATAAGAAAAGTGTTGAGCTCTGGTAAAGGCTAGAATCTAGCCACGAGTTATTATCCGTTATTTCCTGTAAGACTGCGCCATAGACGCTATTCAAACAGAATTTAAAACCTTGACTGGTGTATTTTGCAGTCGAATGGGCAGAGGTCAGTTAATGGCTTCCTTTAGTCCTTGCAGAATTCGGAGACGCGTATCCGAAAACTCAGGGCTAAATCTACACCACTTGTTCAAATCTCAAGTTCCTACGCAAATTCAAAATTAATACCTGGAACCAAAGTTATTCTAAACTAAAAGGGAACAAGGAAGGGTGTGACCAATAAAATCTCTTAAGTTTCCCCACAAAGAATAGTGAAAGTGACAGGGATTTCTGGTTGTTCGTGTTTGTCCTAGTCATGCTCCATGCTTGTTTCCTTGGCCCACATTATAACCTTGACATGACTGATTAAGTGCCAGGCTTGTGTTTACGAAGATTCGAACCCTGCTCGTGGAATGTAAAGGCGACGAAGACGCGGCGACACAGCGTTTTTTGGAAGACTTGGTGCAGTTTACACAGGAAGTGGCAAAGCAACTCTCCCAACACATCCAGAGCAGTGCCAACGAAGAGGCATTCGAAAAAGCCACTGGTATTAATCGTGCCTTATCCTTCTTCATACAAGACTTGTTCGGATGTCTTAATGCCTTCGATGTCTACCGGTTAATTGTAACGTATTTGAGGGAGGTTAGTCTCTTCTGTACATTTCTTTTAACTTTCAAAAACAAATGCTATTCCGTCGAATTTGTAATGATGCTTTTTTTCGCTAATTATGTCGAATTATGCTAAATTCAAGACAAGGTCCCCTATCCAGATTCCAAAGTCGTTAAACCAGTGATTTGTCCCATATTTATTTTCAGTATACATTACCAAGTACTCACTGTTTAGATCGAATTTTTTATGCACATGCCCCTTATCAGAGGGTCATCAAATTCATGTTTCCTCTAAAACAAGAGGGTTCAATCGGTGTCGAGGTCTGCTATGCTGTCCTGAGTATCCACTTATCATTACCGCTTTCAAGTTTTCCTTTAGCTGTGATAGTTCCAGTCAATGTCACTTAATATCGATCATAACTGGAATTGGGTGAACTCGGCTGTCTTATTCTTCTCAATGTTTTTCGTAGGTTGATTCCGCGATCGGTGATTTACTAACACCCACTAATGCATCTGATGGATTAATGACAATGTCTCGAGCTATGAAGGTTCACAATCTTGAACTCCTGAAGCTAGGACTGCTTCAGGTTGCCAGCGCCACACCCTTGTACTCGGCCATAAACGTACCCGATCCGCTGTTGCTGCCTGCCAACGTACACCCAATAAACCAAGCCCTTTACTTCGACCAACCCAGTCGTGATACCGACATTCTCAGGGACCCAACTTATCAACGCCTGCATTTCCTACCAGCAGTTCTACTCGGTGAAGCAAAAGCCTGTCTTCAGCACTCGTGAGTTTGTGTCTCAAATAGTGGCAGTTGTTCCCATAGCTTTAATCAGCACAACCAAGTGGATTCTCTTAAGGATATTTAAAAACCACCAAAATGATCCCGTTCCCTGCCAAGAAGATGCTGACAGACTGTAAGATGCCTCCTGATTTCACAAGTAACCTCCACTGCCATGTTCCAGGTGTGCTATAGCCTAGCAACTGCTGGAAGTAGTCCGTATGTATGCGGGCAAAGCTTCTACTGCACTGTCACTCTCGAATAGATTTCGGAAATTTAACGTTTTTATATTAACCTAAACAGTGGTTGCTTCTACTTCAATGATGCATTTTTGACGAGCAAATGATTTCGGTAAATTTTATAGCAACTTTAAACCTAGCAATAGATAAGTCCATTGGTTATTTGTGAAACTAAGTCAGGTATCCGTACGAACTTAGACAGCAAAGGAGCTCCTGTACAGTCAGAAACGGAAAACTCTGTGTGTTTTCAAGAGTGAAATGCTTGAATTCATGCTGTGGCATTACGTAAAGTTTTCTTACTTATTTCAGAGACCGCATTTTGCAGGAGACCGCATTGGGCGCTATCTGGTGCCTAATGAAGACACACGAGTCAGAATCGCGTGTGACCGCTGGGGAGAAACAGGGCATTCTGCGCGATGTCAGCGCTGTGTATATTCCACTTCTTGACTTAGCTTGTGACCACGCACCCTCTCTTTACGCATCCTGGATCCACGCGATGCAGAGGGAGGAAGAGGTCGGCTTAGACATCGAAAAGCTTTCCTCTGCCTCGGAGATGCATCGCAGCATAAGTGGTACACTCAAGCGACCCAGCCGAATCTTGTCTTCTGTGAATCCAAAAGAAAGGGTTAAGAAGGTATGGAGTATAGTATTTAGCTTTAATTTTTTTGTGTTTAATATGCTGAGCAGATAGAATTCATTGTAAGAGCAGCGTGTGTCCGAGGACCTCAAGGTTGCTGCGATAAAATTCTTGCTTTTTTTCCTGCTACATCCACTAATTGTCTAGCTTAAGCGACTTGCGGCATTTCAAATTCTGCAACTGTAAAATTCGGCCACTAGGCAATAAAAATGCATTAGTAACCCTAGCTGCAAATTTCCATACGAAACGAACCGAATTCTGAAGTCCAGCAATCTTGTGGATTCAAATTGTAAATTTAGCTTCCAAGAATTATCCCCAGTAATTCGCTTTTTTAAATATGCTTATTGACATCATCGATGTAACAGGCTTCGATCTGGTCAGCATATTGCTAAATAAACCTAATGATAACTCCAAAAATGCGAGTTTTTCATGACAGTGAAGTATTATAAGACACGACAGGCAGAAAAACAGTAATTGCAAGGTTTTTTGATGCCTGGCTTTTGTAAGTTAAGTAGGACAAGGCCGCTAGAAGGGGGCATTACAAAAAACTCGACTTTAGCTACCAACCGTCACTTCATTCAACTACGGCATTTGAAGTCACTGTTTTCCGCAATGGACAAGTCTTTGGTATGGATTGGTAGTAATCAGTAGTTACCAAAATCTGCGTAAATCGAAAAAAAGTTTGCAATATGTAGGTAGCATTTATTCCGATTTACTGCAGTGAATTTTAAACAGCCATGACTGTTGTTAGCATTCAGCCCTTTGTACTGTGTTTAAACAAAATCACAAGTGTAACGAAGGTCACCTCGATGTGTGCCAACTCAAAGTTTTATTCAAAAAGTCTGCGAGTGAATGGACCAATTATTTAATTTGAAAAGGGGTGAATTAAGAAAATGACTCCCTAACATGAAAACCCACAATTTTTGTTCAAAGGAGAAGGCTTATGAATAATGACTGAGAAGCTGGTATGATAAAAGCTAATTTTCACTGTGTTTAACTGGCGTGTAAATCATCTTAGTGAATGAATTAATACGTGTTACTTGCTCCCAAACCTGTCTATTTGTTAACTCGTTATTCCATGATGAGCAGCTGTCAGCCATTCACCATTCTGGCTACCCCTAGTGTTTTTTTAATGTCTCAATTTTTAATACGGTGTCTGGAAGAAAAGGCCGGTACTAATGCATTCTCAGCAAATGATCTTTTCCTTTTCATTTATTGGCAGATTGTCCGTCGGTCGTCGTGCACGCCAGATCGTGCAGCTTTAGGCACCAAGTACTCCCCGGGACCACCACGAGATCGCTTACGCTCATTGGCTGTGGCCAACAAATGGGTCCTGTCAGTACTTCCACAAACTGACTCCTTCTTTAAACCAAGTGGTTCTGAGAGTGAGAAGACCGGTAAATTTGACGACTCCATCGTACAACTCCTGCTTCTGGAAGTGCTCTGGGTCCTTCATCACGCTCTCGACGAGGTCCTTCAAAGGTGGCTTGTGCGCGGCGGAATTCAGAAGACACAAAATCTCGTTGTTCTGCTAATCTTGTCTTTCCATTACTTTGAATTCACGGTAGGACATTTTATTAATATCGTAAAATGACACTACTAATAATATTTCAGTAAAAAGGAGTTGAGGGAAAATGTGCCTACAGGCAACCAAGATAGATGGAATCTTTTTTGGCTCTTTTTATGCCTATTGGTGGTTTTTATCAAATTTTGAAGTGGGATGGCCAAGGCAGTGTTATTGAAGTGTTCCAGTGGTCTACTTTTAAACTAGGCTACAGGCTGAGCAAAGAAATATCGATCAAGGCATCCAAACGAATTATTTTTTACATTTGCAGGTGAGATCATGTCAAGGTGGTATTATTTCAGCCATCTGAGTTCTCGGTAAACCAGATAAAATATGAAAAAAATGCACAAAACTTCAATTTAGTTTGTATTTTAGCATTGTGTGTTCGTTATGCCTCATTTTTCTACTCATTCCTGGATCTAATTGTGACTTAAGTAACGACACCGCGCCACCACAACTAGCCTTTTCCTCTTGTGATGAAATGACAAGTCAGCAATGTTACTTTTAAGTCTGGCGTAATTTTTGCTATTTTTAGAAAGACACAGTTCATCAAGGAGATGAGTACACAATGAAATCAGCAAGTGATGCCCCTAACGGTTCGTCTCAAAAATGATTTATACACCTAGGCACAATTTACCAAATTTAAAGTACCAATTTTTGTGTCTTGGTGTTTCAGAGTGCCCGTCAGACACTCGAGCGTTAGAGGATGTCACAGTAACCGAATTTACGCGGTCAGGCGATGTCACTTGGCAAAATATCGACAAAACGGTAAAAAAGGACGGTGAGAAGGCAAAGCGTCTTTTCCTAATGGTTACATCGATTGTTTGCAGAACTTTCAAGCTCATTGTAAATGTAAGGCATGCATTATTTGCTATAATCCTTTATTAAAGGCATTTGATCAGACGGCGCCGGTTGATCAAATGCAAGACTCCAAGACGGAGGAAGTCTACAGTAAACTCATCGCTTCCAATACCATCAACAATATCTTCGCAGCATATATCTTCGGCCTGAGCACTCACCAATGCGTGAAAACTTTTCGACTTTTGTGTTATGGTGTGTGTGAACTAATCTCGAGGGTAAGTTGCTGTTCCCCATAACATACTGAGCAGGATCATTGATAGAGTGATTTTTAAATAAAACGATTCGACTCCTCGTATCGCTGTGGCGATAAGTGGCAGAAAGTATGAAAGTAGGGCCTGTAATGTCTTGGTTGAAGCACTGATTACTATGTCCGTTTAAAGATCACGGACCGGTTGATGTGGTGAGGCCTTAACAATAAGCAACCAACAGACCGCACAAGAACCCTTCTTCTCTTGAACTTCTAGCCACGAGTTACAAGCCCACATTGCAAACAGCAAGTGGAGTGATCTAAGCATATTTCACAGTTGGTTTGAACACATCTTCGCGCCTGTCGCCCAGCAAGAAATGATAAGATTAATGTGCAAATACGAATGCCAGTGACTAGAAACTTGATGATGGTTGAAGTTAGTCGATGTTTTCCCCTCCAGTATCCCTTGAAAGTGACTAGTAAACAGTTTGTTGTAATGTGATACGTCCTGTGATAGCTATAAGGTGGCTGTAATATCCTGTCACCTTGCTTGAAGTCAAAAATTTGGCCAAATGGTCAATTTTAACAGGTCATTTAGATTTAAAACTAGATGAGAACTTTTGTTTTGCTGAGGGCCCTAGCATATAGTCTCACACCACACCGGGGCCGGTTTGTACAAATCAAGCAAACTAGTTAACATACAAGTGTCTGACTAGTCAGATGGATGAAGTTGGTGATGGTAATACTTGCACAGGTGTGGAAAGGGTGGCAGTGTGTCTGAGGCTGCGACGACCGGCTTAATGGACGTGAATCGTCTTGATTCACTGCAGTTTGTTCACCGCGCCATCCCCTTTTCTTACTTCAGTTTCCAAACTACTTTTTCAACGACGCACCAGTGACTTCGTTCGCTTTATGTCGTGTCCTGCTCCCTTACTGCTCCTCACCGCTCCTAAAACTTCGGAACATCGCCAACGCTGTCATCTTCTGTCTTTTCCAGCAGAACCACATCATCCACAAAGTAATTGCGTGTACCTCGTCGACTCCATTTCTGCAATAATACCCAGTGCTCCAAACTTATTGGCCCCACTTTGTAGAGAGGCTTTGAGGGGGGCGTGTCTTTCTCAAAATCCGCTTTGTGGTCGTCAGTGCCACCTGTGGAAGGGTAGATACGAGGTATATGTCACGCGTGAATTAATTAGGCAAATCCAAAACGGCTATCCTAGTAAACATGCACTAGGGGCACAAATGGGTGAGTACGTTGGAATGTTTTCGAAGCTCGCCTGACGTGTTTGATGTGTTGCCTGGGTTACTCTAGCCAAATCAAAACAATTTGTAGAAACCGAAATTTGAGGATATATAACTTAATCGATATTTTCTAATCGTAAGATAAGCTAATGAGCATCACTGTGATAGTGGGTAAGCGAGTATTACTAACAACATTCAAAACCGTTTTGTGATTGGTCAAAATATCTCGGACTTTTTATCTCTTGTCTTTTTAATGTAGGGAACCTGGGCATCATTTTTAACAACAAAAGTTAGGATTTACAGACATAATATGCCCTTTATAAATTAAGGCTTTGCATATTCAATTTTTCATGGTACTTGGCCTGCAAAAACCTCTGTGTTTTGGCGTAATGCCCACGTGCATAGGAATTGACTCTTGATTTCTGAGGCTAACATTGACTTTTTCTGTCTTCCCCGCGTCAGCATTTTTATCAACTAAATTGCCAAATGACCCTGGCGCTACACATGCATATCTTTCCCAATGAACCCTTCTTCGACCCCTCATTCTCCTGGCTGTCCAAGCGTCTGGACGCCATCGGTAGGTGCCTGTCTGACGTCTCAGAATCCAATCCAAAGCACCAATGGACCAGCCTACTGCCTCCCTTACTTCACGAGGTTGAAGGGGCATCAGAATTTCCGACTCGACCACCTAATGCGCCACCAGATGCACGAACCGTACTCATGAGAACTCTTCTTCCGGAGTTTTTCCGGGAATTAAAGGATTACGCCAACAAGGAAGCCGCTGAAGAAACCGTGGAAGTGACTGACTCCGAGCCAAGGCCAGTGTTAAACGGGTTTCGCGAAACCCTAAAGCAAATAAATTGCCGTGTGGCCGAGGCGAGTTTCAAGACGCAAATTGATGCTCTTGTCGACATGTGGCAGGTAAGACGAAATAGATGGTTACATGTTCCCTTGTACAAGTTCTTTGTAAAAGACAAGTGTGCTACCTTGTTTTTTCACTGCTCGATATGACATCATTTGTTTTAACATGACTGTTTAGTTCAATTAACAATTACTACAATCCCTGAATTTGGCCAGATTCAGTAAACAATTCACAACTCTTAACTCTATAGAAATGTCCTGCAGTCTCCTAGGCAGGGGTCAAAGGTAAACTAAAGAAAACATTTTCCGAAGTCACAAGGTAGTGGTTCGTAGGTATTCCTGATGTAATCTATCGTTTCGATCATTTTAAAAGGATATGTTTACATGCAACCTTCGCCTACATGACCATCAATGTCAACACACCGATTCACAGACCTTGGAGAGAGAAGACCAGATTTTCTTGGCTGACCTGATCATTCGACTAGCTTCTGTCTGTCGTATTGTTCCCGAATTGAGGCAGTATTGGCTTCTGCGTCTTGCGAAGATCCACTTAATTGTAAGTCCCGTTCTGCCGTTCAGGCCGCAGTTCTCACCTAAGCAGCTTGATGGCACTGAATTTCTGCTTATTACCTAAAATTATCCAGTAACCAGATATTTAAATCATTACATGATAAAGGCTTTTCAATTAATACTTAAAGCAAGGATAAGCGGTGTAGAGCTGATGCAACGAGGGAATGTGGGGTTGAAAGGACGCAAGACCTAGTTTAAAATTTTGATGTGTAGAATCTGACAGCGGATGAAGACTGTGTCCGTTGTACTTGGATATTCAATTCAAAATGCAGACGTAATTACACTTGTAACTAATGTGAATGTATTGCTTCGATGTTGCAAATCGCGGCCTGAAGTCGACTATGACTGACAAGTAATTGCAGGTTTGAAATGGTGGCTTTTCATGGTGGAATCTTGCATGGAGAACAAGCGTGGCGAATTGATTCCTACCGGCAAGGTGTAAGGAATTGGAATGATTGCAAAAGCGTTTTTAAGGTATTGTGGTCTGATCCGGAAGAAACTAGTTAATTGTATTTTTTTCGCACTTCATATACCACACACAGCACTAGATAAATGTGCTCAATTTTAGCCATCCCAGAAAACTACAACACTACTTACTTAATTTTAACAATATGTAGTCCATTCATGTATTTAGAATTGATTTTTCAGTTTAATCAGCCCGCCGAAGCCGCTCAGTCAATTGTGCATGCACTCGCTGTGGATGTTGAACAGTTAGTGAGTAGGGAGTGCGACCAGACGTTCGCCTCGTCCAACGAAGGCGCGGACTCGCTTGCTCGACAGCTGATGAACTCCAATCTTCTAGAGGAGTCCTCCCTGGAAGTCGCCGTTTGCCTCCCCGCTTGCCTCCCTGCATCCAGATTTCTCTTTTCGACTGGCTCTCGCTCAAGTGACGAATCCCGGCAGACGAAAGCCATGGGCACCCCTGTGAAGAGGTTATGCTGTATCATCGAGAAAGCCGTTGAATGCTTCTACAGGGCTGAGCAATACGAGCAGGTGCCGCCTTTGTGCCAGTGGCTGCTCCCGGTGTTTTATTCCAGCGGCGAACTCGAAAGCCTTGCCCGACTGCATGGAATTATCAGGGATTCCTATGCGTTTATCAATGACCTCGGAGTGAGTTTTCAGTGCCTTAGTAACCAACTAGAACCACGCGGGAAGCATTTAGTTGCGGTTCTAGCTCCTTTTAAAACTCAGCAGTGACGGGGTTTTGCTTACATTGAGCGATCTAGCACATATTTGTGGGTTTTGGGATGCCGGCATTGTTTAACTGATCGTGTTAGGAAGTCAGGTACGTGTCATCTACGAGCATGACATAACAGCTGGAAATTTCCCTGTCTATGCATCTGTTCAGCATGCCTCAACCCCTACCACCTCCCAAAAGGTAGCCGAGAACTAGGATTTAAATTACGAATATCTTTTTAAATCTCAGAAACTCAGCAGCCTAGACATTAATCCAGGAAATACTAAGACTTTTGCTCTTGTCTTAATTGGACATTTGATGTCCTGCATGAGTGATGGTAAATATGAAAAAATAAATTGCTTAAATTACGTAGAAATTTGAGACAAAAAATTGAAATATTGAGTAAGCGTTTGTCATCAAGGCTAGTCTAACATAGTTTACTTAATCTAAACACGTTTTCGTATTTCTGGGGCTTATTGGGAAAACAGGCCAGAAGTTATCCTGTTTTAGAAACCTCGCCGCCTCTTTAGCAGCTATTTTCGTGTCGGATTTTACGGATCTGTGTTTGAAGATCACAATGGCAAAGAGTTCATCTACAAGGAAGCACCACTAACCAAACTGGCGGAAATAACAGCTAGATTGAAGGAGTTCTACTCACAAAAGTTCTCAGGCAAAACAGTAGAGGTTATTCAGGACTCCAATCAGGTTTCCTCAGAAAACCTTACGGGCACAAATGTACGTAAACCACCCCCACCTTTGACCAAAATCCTAGCCTCATGGAAGAGCCTAATGCCTAGCTTGTAATTACCTAGGCCTATCTACAGATAACCTACGTGGAGCCTTACTTTATGGACTTCGAGCTTCGGAAACGGAAGACAGAATTTGCAAGGAGCATGGGGATCAGTGAGTGCTGCATCTTCTTCTCCCCGATTTCGCCGTACACATACTGCGGCTTTGTCGGAGGCTTCACGCGTGTTTTGATTTTGAGACAATTTGGCTTTCTTTTAGAGCGTTTTGTAATGGTGACGCCGTTCACTCAAACAGGCTCGGCCCATGGCAGCATCTCGGAGCAGTACAAGCGCAAAGTCATAATGACCACCGCCCGTTGTTTCCCCTACCTGAACACGCGTCTGCCGGTGGTATCCAGGGAAGAGGTGATTCTCTCGCCTATCGAGGTCGCACTTGAGGATGTTGCCAAGCGCAACGAGCAACTCGAGCATGCCCTGCAAGGCGACCCGCCTGATGCCAAGTTCCTTCAAATGGTTCTCCAGGTATACCCTCATTTTTGGTGTTTCACTTTCAAAGTACGCAGTACGTTTTTTACAACATTGTGGGAACGTAGGAGCACAGGAGCGCTTCTCGTGACTATTCGTGGTTCCCATGTTAGATAAATGTATTAATTCATGTAAGTGTTGTGATTTTGCTCGATTGTGAAAACTGCCATGGTCAAACGGGCTTTCCTAAAACCAAACACCTGAGATTTCAGATCAGCTGCCGTGTCATACCACATGTGATCCTCGCATGAAGATATATATTCAGTTTCGGTTTAACTGACGTCGGACAGTTTACTTAATTTTAAGGCGACTTGTCATCTTTAGGAATCCTTGGTGTTGGCTCTTTTCCCTGTCATAGCAAACACAAAAGTGTCTAGTGCACGGACGTCTCAGATTAATCTCACTGCGGAAAACCCCGTCACCGAATTTTGGAAGTGTAAATTTGGTTTGTGATAACTTAATTGATTGTCTCACTAATACTGTTTTGCCAAAAGGCGTTCTATTGGATTGATACAGTAAAAATGTTAGCTGCTGATCCGCTTTTGAAAATATTACAAGCACTCCAATGGTGGTGCAGCAGAGATTAACCATTTGAGGTTTTGGGTTTTGTTTCAAGGGATGCATCAGTGCAACAGTGAATCAAGGACCAGTGGAGGTTGCTAGCGCTTTTCTGGCGAAACGGAAACTACCTCCAGAACATACCGGTGATTCTGACGATGGACAAGATGAAGAGGCAGACGTGATCGATGAAGATCAAAATGAACTTCGTCTGTGTTTGAAGGAATTCCTGCACAAGTAAGCTATTTTATTCAATTTGGTAAAATATCTGTGTGTCTGTGGTGAGACGAAGCGTGAACACTAACCAAACTTGATGGTTTCTTGATTGAAAAAAACAGTGAAACCTCCGTCGAAGAGAAAATTGTTCAATCGTCAAATCACCAGAAATCTCTTGACATCAAGAATCTTAGAAAATTGTCTGTACATAAGTCAAATTGAACGTTCTTGTAAAAGTGTAACGATTTATTACTACTCGATGAATTTTCCTGACTTACACCGGACAATGTGCAGCTAGTACGCCACACAATTTTCGTATTTGTCCACTCATCCGCCCACAAATTTTAATTGACCTGGTTACAGTCCTGGTGCCTTTTTGGCAAACCTAATCCATCGTCCGAAGACTGGGGTGTTAGCTTGTGCTGGCCCAGACATCTCCGCGAACGAGACGTCAGTTCAGGGGGACAGGTAGTTTGTCTTAGGTCCTGGCGTTATCTGGAGCAAGTTCGGGTTCATCAAAGTGACGAATACTCCTGGGACGAGAGGGTCACAAGCAGTCGAATGTTTGTTATCAAATTTTATCTCCCGAATTTACCACACCTGATCACCAAGTCCACAACTGCGTGCATATGTGCGTCGTACGTGTAGTATGGTTTATGCCAGGAATTCTTCATAATTCCGTGTTCTTAACCTTATGTCCAATACTACTTATTATACACACTTCACTGATGGTGAGTGTGGACTTGTTGCAGTAAACAGGATTCTTGTGTGCTTTTGGTCAAAATTAATGGCCTAGCCTGGCATGGTATGGGTTGGACCATGATTCAAATTAAGCAGTTCATTTTATTCGAACCTGCTAAAGCCAAAAATTTAACGCAATGTTTTTTTTTTCGAGTTCATCTCTAGCGGTTTATTTTTGTTTTACTAGATCCCAGGAAGCAGTGCACTTGAATCGAAAGCTCATTGGACAAGATCAAGAGGAGTACCAACGCGAACTTGAGCGCAATTTCGGTCAAATTAAGCTGCAAATGGAACCATTTTTAAAGCCACCCAAATCACTCCGTGATGCCCTCTTGTAATTTTGATCTGTAATTTTGTTCTTTTTATGGATTTTTATTATAATAATTTTGTAATGATCAAGTAAAATCCCTGATTTCTTACTTTTGTTGCCTTCTAGTCTGCTAGTTTATTTGTGGTTGATTCATAAGTTACATCTGTTTGCGAAAATTGGCCTTTTTAAGTAACCAGTTCTACCAATTTCCCTGGACTTAATCAAGTAGAAATATTTCTCATTTTAGTGAATGCTCAGGCTATTTAACGCTATGCAGTTGGTGTTTTTTGACCACTTTGTCCGCCATAACGTGTTTTTCCTCGTGTAACTGCATTTACTTAGCTATACACTAGACGGCGGTTTCGTGAGCCTCCAAGTAATAACCGATCAAAAAACTAAATTTACTTATTACCTATAATTTGTAAGTAGACAGTATTACACAAGTGCGCCTCTTCTCAGAAACCCAATAGAAATGCGTCGATAGAATAAATACAAACGTGAATTGGGTAGTTAAGTAAAAGAGGTAGCCCTACCCTAGTGTGGCCGTTATCGCAAATTCAATAGGCAATAAAGTTCTTAGGCACACTGCCATGACAATCAAAATTCCTGAATGTCTAGAATGATTATCAGTCTTTCAGTCGTATTTTTTAACGCTTCGTGACTCCGTTAAATGTCCATCTGGTCTGAGTTATGGGATTCCCTGAAACACGTGTTTAATTAATCAGGTCGATTCAACTGCCTATTTGAAGCCGTTATACCAAGATCTCACGGAACCTGAGGTTTGTATTTCAAAAAGGAACTTCAAACGTGACCTTGAAAATTTGAGCCTTCGGGAAGGGTTTGCAAATACCATTTTCTTCATTCAATGACATTATTGGTCAAAGTGCGTCCAATCGTTTACGCGTATGACTTCTATGTTTCCTTGTTTAATAAGACACGTGTGTTCCTAGATTAAATGAAAATGAATTGCACACACGCAACAAAACGGCCCTCCCTGTAATTAAATTCCCCTTATTAGACAGCCAAAGTAAGCTTTTTAAAGACGCTGTCCTGTGTCTTCACGTGAATTGGAGTTTGGCTACAGTTCGTCTCACCCCTAATGACGCATTTTACTTAATTACAGTAAATAAATTAAGCGGTGATTTTTTTTCATTTCCAATAAATCCACTTTATCATTTTGAGCTTACCTTTTTTTATTATTGTGATTTGTGGACGTGTATCTTTCTACGTAATTACCAAAATCTGCAAGAAGAAAATTCAAAAAAGAACACTCAAGTTACAGTGCGCCATTTCGTCGTATCGAATTAGGTTCCAGTAAGGATTGTGTGGGAGAGGCGTTTCAAGTGCACTCGTGTGGCTGTGGTCCCCTTTGCACACGAACGTACACACACACACACACACGATAAACTCTCGTGAACACCACACACACCCAAGTGCCGAGGCGTGAGAGCGCCACAATCTTGTGTCTTTTACTTTGAGTTAGTACCTGCTTACAAAGGCGCGATGGCTGCTATTCTCTTTCAACTGTGTCACTCTCTTCGCATGGGCCCAAGCTGTCAACTGAAATGGTTTAAGGGGGCCGCTACCGCAGGTGCTGTGCTCGCCTTGTCCCTCACTCCTCTCAATTTGGTTTCACACAATACTTGTCGCCTCGTTTACCTCCAATTCAAAACTAGTACTAGGGATGTAATGGGCCTTATAATTCACCCTCCCAGACTAGGTTCGCAGTTATTTGATTTCATGCGACCAGCAACCATGATGTGCGGTCTTGAAGACGTATTCTTGAAGTGAAAGGTGCCCGACTACTCCTACTTCACTCATATTTGCAATCTCTTCGTTATTTGACTTAAAACAACGCCTCTAGTTTTCGTGTAGCATTCCAAAATCGGAGGCGATGGCAAAAAACCAAGTCACTCTGGCGAAACTACACAGTCTTTCGTGTTTTAGACTGCCCTCCGAGTAAATGTTTCCCAGTCGTAATCGTACGTTGGAGGGTTACCGTGTGCTCGAATATCTCATAAACTTATCCTAATACCTTCCCCGACGGTGGATGGAATTCCACTGCAGAAGGAAGCATTGATCTTGCTCTGTTTGACAGATCTACATTGTGAACTCGTACGCCCACAGTTCACTGTTACAGTCGACATTTAGTTGGTAAAACTGGCAGTTTGTTAGTAACTTATTCGCGAGCTGCGTCGCTTCAGCCGCTTTAAAGAGCTTACCTCGAACGCTTAATTATTGAATTCATGGCTGTGCACAGATTCCATGTCCATACCAACTGACTGTACATCAGCAAAAGAACATGTCATTGATACTCACTTCTGAATTGGCAATGTAACTGAATTGTATTCCAACATTTATCAGCGAGTAGCCAATATTGCTTTTTCGGACCCTGACAAGACATCACCGGCTTTGGTCTTTAAGAATGTATTTGGCGGAAGCAGATTAGTTCGAGTCAGCACACGGTATCAGGTTGATCTAACAATGCTCACCTCCCAGTTCCACACCTCGAATTCAGTTTCGACATCACCATTGTCGGGAAAAACGTCCGATGTTTATCTGGACAGGCACTGACCGAGTCCTCGTAGACCGAATTCAGGGTGAGGCCCCCGTGAAGCAGTGGCAATTAGGCCGATTTACAGGGAAAATGACAAATGGTCTCACACTCCCCAGCCCTATAATCAGTGACGATTACTGCGTGCTATGTCTGCGCTAATTAAAGACCTTGTGTTGCAGTAGCACTGACCTCTTTTCCACCTAACTCGCATCTTCCTGAGTATAATTTGGCCTGTTTGAATGCTAAGCGCCTTTCATGGTGGTATTTCTGCTAAGGAGACTGTCATTTATTTTGATTTAAAGTGTCGGTGGATGCAGTTGACGTAGATTCAAGCTCTTAGGGACAATAAACCGCTGAGAGGCCGCGCATCTAAGTAAAGAAACTAACAGAGTTTATCAAGACCTCCTTGGGCTAGTTCAGTGGTAGTTATCGGAAATGAAGTATGTAATGATGAACATCTAATTGCAAATTGTGTTGTGTGATTTGTATGATGGGTTGCCATTCAGTTGTTGTCAAATATCCGTAGTTTCGTGTTTTCGTGTACCAAGTAGATTTTACCTTTTTTGTTTTAGATTTTTTATGACAACTAAACATCCATTTTGAATTGATTTTACTTAAAACTCCTGGCATAAAAATCGATAGCACTTTTTAGCCAATTGGATGTTGGCCCAATCTCGACGCTCTTGTTGAAGCAAATTAAATAAGAGTAGTCAGCGTCATTAAGTCAAATCCTGTTTCCATGACCATGAACAAAAATTAAATTTCAGCATGCACTCTGTATGTAACCTAATCCATTTTGATTTTCCGCTTCATGTTTTAAATACACAAATTAGTTTTGTACTCAGAGAGTTTCAAAAAGCAGGGTACATCTTGATGGTAGCGCTAACTGAGAACGATTCTTTCTCAGTACCATGTCTGATGCTTGCTTTCTGAAACTTTGGTGACAAATTTTACCTGCCGCTCTTACACTGATATTGCTACCCTTGATGTGTAGAACAGTGCCAACTATCAATCAAACAGCTACATTAGCCCAACCTTTTAAATTAGTTGTTTTACTGATAATGACACTATCTCTGGTCAAAATTATTTCAAATTGGTCGCACTTTTACAGCGGCAATTCGAGTTAGGCGCAAAAAATTCGCTCAACTTCACGCCTCTTTACCAAAAAAATGCAAAAGCACAACTCATGTGTGTGTTATTCCTCTGTCGTAGAATTCACTGAGCTCATTTCTTCCCTACCCAGCATTTGCAAACGATAAGGTTGCAAGTTACACTTGCAAAAACTGTTTATATTTTTTGTAGTCTTCTTCCATTATGGTGGTCGGTTGGCTGGGGGTGGGGTGACTCCAGGTATCTTGTAAACAGACGGCGTTACCGTTGCTGGGTAGAGAACCACCTGCGCTACGGAGAGAAGTCAAATCGCGACTTTGTGACGAGGTGTTTACGTTTAGTGCACACGCTTGTATCAATCATAGCAACGGATTCCTCTGTGGCTCACCGTACGCACAAAAACACACACTTTAGTACTTTTAGTAAACAGTGTGAACAAAAAACACGGCGTCGTAATTGAAAGGCGTCAGCGACCCCAAAAAACAGAGAGCCTTGAAGTCTGGCTGTCATGATGCCTCACAAAAACCCATCGATTATCAATCAAAACTTATTTCTGTATATCCACTATGTTAGTTTTTTAAGCTTTCATTAAAACACTCTATTGTTAATCTTAATCGACTTTCATCAATCTATCTATATCCATTCACTAGTCTCATCGGAAGCGTCTACGTCTGTAAGCCTGAGAGTTCTCTATCGTTTGTTGGCAAGAATTAATCGAAGTAGCAACGAATTCCAACAGCCCTAGTTTGAAGGAACATTGTGATGCTTATTGAGACGATAACCGTTTCGAAATGGCTTCTCACTAATTCTCACCTTTGTCTCTCATCCCTAGCAAAATTTGTAATCACGAATGAGTCCAGACTTGATGGAGATGACGTTCGACTGGATTATTTCCCGTTTAGGAAACCTTGTGTTTTGCTTCTTGTATTCTAAGAACAGAAACATTTTTTGTACTTGTGACACAGGCAGATTTGGTCAATATGCGAAGTCTAAAGAACCAGTCAGGAATTTGAAGCATACTTCTTCAGAGAGGTTGCTTCGTTTCCTAATAAATATCGTGTTTCTAACAGCGCATCAAATTGTTAAACTACTGCTTTAACTGCTAAAGCACTTGTCTGTTTGATAATCAGTACGGAATGAAAGGTACCCTGGTATTTGAATAATTTAGGACTTAGCTTAAACAGATTCCGGAACCCTCTGAACTTTGGGTCAGAGAATTTAGCCTAAACTGCAAGAACCTTTAATTAAATCGGGACGGCCTTAATAGAAACGTATTTTACCTCCTTTATAGCGATATAAATGCAGCCCCTACGCACCGACCCATCCTGCCCATAAAGTGGCTGACCCGTGAGACTCCATGGGTGGTCGGCGGTTCGGGGCTGAGCTAATGCCTCGCGGTCATTTCCTGGGCTGGCCAACTTTCATTCACTTTGCGCACATTAAAACCGACTTATTGTGTTTCGAATCACAGCTGATCTGCCTAACATGTCACCTGATAAAAGGCTGTTCCAGCAGGATGGTCACATCGCTGTGCTTTCTGCAAACTGGCACCGAGAAAACCTCCATCTCCAACAGGGTTCCAGGGTTTCATTGGACAATTCGACCTTATCAACCCAATAATATTCACGAATTTCTAATAAGCCTTAGTTGTAGAAAGCCAGAGCTATGAGTTGAAGCATCAATTCGGATTTCTTAATAGTTCCCCTCACATGAATCTTTGGTTCTCAACTGAGATTGGCATTTTTGATCAAATCCACATGAGTCTGCTCAAGTAACACTCGTAAGAATTTACACATCTTTAAAAATGGGACATTTTCTGAAAATTGCGATAAACTTGATTTTTGCTGGCTAAATTGGGCAAAGGATATTCACTATTAGAGATCTTGAGGGTAACCTCGATGTATTATTGTCTTAGCACCAATAAAAGTACTATTATTTCAACCTGTCTTCTTTCAAATCCCTATTTACCTATAAATTTTGCTTCGGCCTACCTTAATCTTTATTTGGTGTTTTAATGTTTTCTCTTATAAGTAAAGCTTTGAATATGTCTGAAAATGTTAGCGTAGCAGCAAACCTACAAGTACTTTGGCACCTATCCTTAATAAGTCCCGTCAATTTTGACACCAGTTGCAAGTCACCGGTGAAGATCCAGACGATTTACTTCAAAATCTTACTCTCTAAAGCTCTAAATTGACCTTCTGGGAGTTCCCAAGCAACCTGCTAGAATTATTAAAAATCTCTGTGGAGATAACCTTGAACATCCGTTTCAGGGATCGAGCGGTGAGGACTGTGACGAGACCTACCAAGTGCTTCAGGAATCGTAAGGAACAAATTGGTCTTGATGACAGAAATTGGTTGTGGGGAAAAATCCTGTGACGACCTTAAAAATGTATAAAATTGAGATCCACAGTTAAGCACATTTTTATTGTCATTTTGGAAGCAAAAAACCAGACGGAAAAATGGGATTTAAGCATCCAAAGCGTAGATAATTCACCACAGAAGTTGTTCTTTCGAAAGGCATGCAGTTTTCGAGGCTGCAGGTTTGTAAAAGTGGACTTCGTGTTGACTTGCGAAGGCGTGGCCGTTTCAAGCTAAGAAGAGGTTTGCCTCAGGTCATTCCGGTGTGTCATCGAATGGCGCCCTCGGTCGTAAATCGCCAGGGTGGCCCTCTCCCGCACTTCCCCCGCGCCCACCACCGTTGAAATAAACCATTTTGAATTTTATAACGGCGAGGCTTGGTCGGTCGGTCTGGACCACACATGCGCCAGGGTACTGGTGACCCGGTGTGGAGCGAATCGCCAGTTTAGGCATTTCCCTCGGCGCCTTCGCAGCCACCACCAGCAGTCGCCTCCGTAAGGCATCGCTGTCAATGTCAACTCTCACTGAAGGCTAAAACCTGCTTCGAAATGGCAATAGAGTTCAACAATAGGTTACCGCTGTTACGGAGAATTATTTGGTTATCCTTTAACACCTTGGTACAGTCTAAGTTTCCTGCAAGGGCATGGTCAGTTTCAAAATAAGCCATGGAGTCGGTTGGTGGTGTGAAAGAATAGAACAAGTTTTGGAGGATTCATTATTGCAATTCACATCACACAAGAAAATAGGCCAGTGCAATTATGACAGGCATTGTAGCACATTATTATTATTGCCTGACAGACGACTTCTGCAAGTTATCATTCAATGATTATTTCTGTATTTGGCTTCATGGCTTTGAGCGAAGACGCACCAGACCCAACAACAACCGCCTGCATTTTTACTCAGTTTGGAATTCCGATTTCAACTGTCATTCTGGGGGACACATTGTCGACGTTCTCTTTTATGTCTTTTATTTGCACGATCTTCATGTTTTAGTTACTTAAAACTTCTAATTGGAAATCTCTGGTTGACTAAACGTATGCCCCAATCTTGAAACTTCACAATCCTCATTTTGGACGGATTTTCGGCTGAAATGTTTGTTTCCAGAACCATCATCATCAGGTCGCCATTTGTGGAGGTTAAATATCCAAGCATCAGGAAATGTATCTCGTACAACCTCAAAATGCTTACGGAATTATGCATCTGCTCATATATTTTCATTAATATCCTAAATAGAACTGTTTTAAATGGCAGTGAAAAAGGTGTTAAATTTGGTATACAAAAGGAATTATTCCGCTAACTTTATCTGGCCAAACGAAATTTTAGCAGGCTGCGTTCCTAATACTAGTTTTTTTTTGTTTTTATCTGTCACATTTAGTTTAAATAAGTTGTCGTTGACCACTACCGCATTTGAAGTACTCGCAAGTATTTGTCATATCTTAAGTAAATTTTGACTTAAAAATGACAAGTTATGCGAAAGGGAACTAATAAGTACTTCATACTAAGTCCATCTTTGATTATATCCGATATTTCACTACCAAAATCTTATGAATTCAAGTGAAGTGTCATCATTTTGAGCCTAC